ACTGTCCACTTCAAGTTTAGGAACTTGTAAACTTCGTCCCATTTTTTCCTCGGTTCCTTGCTCGGTGATCTTAATTCAGACAAGGTTTCCCGCCATATCGCAGGATCGCTCACATCTGCCAAGTAATTTCCTACCAACTTTATCATGTATGGCATGCCACTGACTCACTGATAATCTTTCTTGCCTCTTTCCTTATGTCTTGATTACCCTTCAAGTTCTGCCTCACTGTTTTCCAAAACAAATTTGAGCATCATCATCCGATAATCTCCTCACATTGATGTCTTATCTGTCTGTCCACAGATTCTTCTCTGCCTACATGCAAAGACAACCTTTCCATTATGCTCTTCATTGATTCCTAATCCTATTCTTTCCAAATCATCTCGAAAACACTTCATCAAGCAGCAGTAAGTAGCTCTTTTTCTTCAACACTTCAGATATCAGGATGCCTTCTGTTCTCACTCTGCTCTGTGGCTTTATATTCAACCGCTTCAAAAGTATGTCTTGTATGAATTTTCATCTCCATCTCTGTTCACTGTCACCCAAAACACAATATCAAATTCTTCACCAACGCATTGTGCAGATTTTTCATTATTGTAGTTTTCCCAACCCCCAATGGTCCCCATAAACAAATTCTCTTCAATTCGCTTACTCAAACACTCTTTTAGCTATACCACATGGACGCTAAGAGACGGAAACTCAACTATTTTCTTGGCCGGCATCCTCATGAGCGAAGCTGGTGGCTTTTCCACCATTAACCTTCTTACTTGCCCAATTCGATCCTTCAAAGAACATAACTCCTCAGTAATTTTCACAATTCTTTGCCAAGTTTTAGCAGAAGCAGGAAAGGACATACTCCACACAAGAAACTGGAGTATTCCATACTCAATCTTCAATTTTTCAATTATCTTCCATCTTTCCACATCTTCAAGCCAAGTTTGGCATTCCCGCGTTTTCTCCATCTCTAGTTTATTGATTCCAGTCTATTTCTACATCTCCCTTTTTAGCGAGAGGTATTCTATTCATCTTCAAGGGTTCAAAATTTTTCCCAGATTTTTCACATACCGATATTTACTCTCAAACAGTTGAATATGCCTTTCTACCGTCTAATGCCGGCGCAACCAATGAACCACTGCCTGCCCGCCAGCTTGCGTTAGTATTGCTGTCCTCATCCTGCAATATTGCTCAGAATGATGTTTTGGTGAACATTTGTCACAGACGACTAAAACTTATTTCTAGATCAAAAAAAGAAGGTTTGCCCGCATCACATGATTAATCGAAAATCCACAAGGTGTAGATATAAACACTTTTGTAAAATCCGGACACTTATTAGACAACTTCAATAAATATTAAAAGACAAAATTTCACAGTTTTCATAAGAAATATTTTATTGAATTTCATCTTTTAGGTTCCTGAACTACAATATCAGTTTACTCCTGTTATCTAAAGAGAGGAAATAATGCTATCGACAAAAAAGAATATATTCTTTCTCACTTATTAGAGAAAAAAAAATTACTAGGAATTTTGCAGAGATATTTTCTGCATATTTTTTTTTTTCTTTTTTAGCTTAATTCTTCAGAATATCGCAACAAATTAAAACAGAAAGTTAAAAGAATCCTGATGATTTATTCTAATTTAACCCTTTGCTTCATCAAAATCAACTCTTTCTGGAACCATTTATTTTAGAGTTTGAGCATAATCAAACACAAGATTCTACCATAACTTTTAAAGATGAAATACTTTTAAAGATGAGATCAATGAAGTCAACCGAAGCATCAGCATCGATTATCGTAGCTGAACAAGTCAAATAAAACTAATAATTAATTACACGGTAAAATGACGAACCTGCAGTTAATTTCTTGAATAATCTGTCTCTTCTCATTCTTATTCTCTGATGGAGCTCCAAATGGCAAAAGTGTGTACTGTGAAGAAAAATAAGTAAACTATAATAATGTACAGGAGTCATACCAAGCGGGCCATGCTCAAGTGGCACGTTGTATTTTCTTATCTTTACTTCTATTTCTTGATATTAATTAATTTTAGTTTATACTTTAATTTTGGCTAGATTTATTTTATAATAGATTAAAGGAAATGAAATTGATTATTTAATATTACTATTATAGTACACTTGATTCAGAGATTTTTATTATGCGAATATATATTAATAGAAAGATAAATTATCTTAATTACGGGTATTTAAGGAAATGTGTTTGTTGGTTAGAATAAATTGAAAGTATATTATATTATATGTTTGGTTGGAGGAATAAATTACCTTTTTTAAATATTAATATAATATTATTTTTATTATTATTTTTTATCACTTTTTTAATCCCTCCTTTGAAATTTGCTATAACACCCCAGTTATATAAAACTTTAATTTGTAACAAAATCATCCCCCACCCACCCCAATTGGCCTCAGCATCATCATCGACAGTTGCCAGAATTACGTAGACCAGCTGGATCTGGACAGATCCATGACCGAAAACGGTCTTACATGCACGGTTGGCCAAATTTGCCCGACCGTGCATAGTTCAGATGACGTCCATGGCGATCGACAGTCCTCTGGGTGCTTGGGGTGGTGGTTAGAGGTGGTTGTAATCTTAGGTAATTTGGTTGAAGTACAAGGGTAATTCTGTCTTAAAAATTTGAGTATAAGGCTAAAATTGTTTATAAATTTATTGTAAATTTTTTTATTGTCTAAAATTTTATTAATAAGGGTAAAATTGTAACAAAATTAAAATTACTAAGAATCTTAAAATACTAAGAAAATTGAGGTAATCAAATTATCTCCTATATAACCAACAATAATTACTATTAGTTTTGAAAGATGACCAGAATGTTATATTATTTGAAACCAAACGTAATAATCATAATATAAGATAACATTACCTTAGTACATGGATTCCCCCAACCAAACAAACCCTTATAAGTGAACACATTTTCTCTGTTTTTTTTTTAAATCATGATTTTAGAATTTTCAAATTTATGAAATACATAATCAAACTCATTATTTTATTTTTAAATTTATTTTTGAAATAAAATGTAAAAATGGGTGCTTGGAATGATGGAAGTTGTAGAAAATTTTGCCTTAGGCTAGCCATTTTTCTTATATAAAATTTGTAGAAAAGATCTCCATAAAACAAAATTATCGGTTGGTGGGTTATTATTGTCGTTTTCAAAAATTGTCTTTAGAGCAAACTTCGGTGGGACCATGTCGTTCGGCCAAATAAATATATATAGAGTCAAGTTATAATAACTTAAATTTTTAACTTAATTTGAGACACTGATTTATAGTCATTGATAAAGAGTAGACTATTTTTTCTCACTCGAGGTTTGCCCCACCCAAAAAGTTTCAAATATCACTTTTCCACCCAAAATTTATATTCCGTTAATATCTAAAATACACTTTACTTTTTCAGTCGGCGTTCAGCAAGATACCAAGAGTCAAGATAATAGGGTTTTTGAAGAGTGAAAGTCGATGGATCGAATGATGATGATCAATGTCGTCTCAAAAACATTTGTAACCCTTAGCAAGAGTTAAAAATTATAATATAAGCATATATTAAAAAAATTATTTCAAATTTATTTTTCTTGCCTTTCGAGATGCAAAATCACTAGGAGAGGTGAAAGACGATTGGCAGGCTAACGGGGTCAAGTTGGTGGGAGATTTTGGAGAGTAGATGCCGGAGAAGCAATCGGTGGTGAAATGGGTGATTTCTAATTCCAGGATTGACCGAAAAAGGCTTGAGAAGTCGGGGCCCAAAAGGTATCAGTGGTCGGCGATTGGCAGAGTAAACAGATGAGGTATGATAGGGTTTTGGTGAGAGGGTTGAGGGGAGAAAGATGGTGGTGTAGGGGAAGGCCAACAACGCCGGGTGCATGTTGAAAAGGCTGGAAATGACTGCCACGTGCAATGGAGTTGAGTTGCGAGATTCGTAAAAAATGGGTCAAATCGAGGGTTATCAAGGCTAGGAAAACGCTTGGGAAATAATTAAGTGATGATTCTGATCGATTTTGGTGAGAAAATTGACTGGAATCAACTCCAAACGGTCAGCAACAAAAGAGGGGTGGAGATGATTTATGTGAATGTCGAATTTTGGGATTGAATTGGGGGTGACTAATTTGAGACATGTAAATGACCATTTTAACCTTTATTGTTAAAAGAAATTCAATGTGTTAATTTAGGGGTGTAAATTAGAATATATGAAACTAGAGGTACAAACTTGCTATTTTGTCAAACTTTGGGTGGGAATATATGTAAAAAGTTTATAATAAATTTAGGCATTTTTAGCTTCTTTTTTTTTTTTTTTAGGTCCCTTGGGCCGGCCAACGTAAGAAATTATATACTATTTTCTTTTTTGTAATATATTCCAAAAAAAAATTATACAAGAATTGGGCCCTTTTTTACCCTATTTTTGGGGGGCCTTTGGTAGGTGTCTCACCTGCATACCCCTTGAGCTGGCCCTAGTGGTGATAGATTGAATATTAGCAACCGAAATCAGCTAAGAATAGAAAACCTTAGCTTTGCAGTGGTCGGCAATTGAGGAGAAATCATGTATCGAAGTGAGAGAGATTTTGTAAACAGGAGACCGAAGGTTCAGATGGTGGTGACAGAGAGAATTTTTATCGCTGGAATGGATTTTGGGTAGTAACAGAGTTATTAATTTTGGATAGGAAGTGGTATTTTAAAATTTTTTGGGTGAAAAAGTGTCATTAAGGGGAACTTGGGTGGGAAAAAGTTGTTTACTCCATCGATAAATCACAATCCAGAGGTAACGACGTGACAGAGTAAAACAACTACTTGTAACTTCCCATTTATCAAACCTTAGATTGTTTCAAATCAATGACTGGAAATTTAAATTACCATTTAAAGTAAAAAAATGGGAACATTAAATAAGACATCTTAAGCAAATCTCAAAAATAGAAAATAGAAAATAAAAAATGCAATGCAATTGTCTTCCAATAAACCTTAATGTTCAATAGCAATCGAAAGGCAATTTCATTCATTAAAGAAGAAAAAAAAAAAAAAAAAAACATAAATACATAAAATGATCTTCACAATTGTAGTCAAAGAATAGACATATTCTTCTCTATATTAATCTCTATTATTGTTCCTTTTAATGGGGTGCATATCAAAGAAGTTGATATACTCTCATGGGGGCCAAGCACTTCTCCAAGATGTTCCAGGGTGTCCTTTCTTCAGGAACTCTTGAAAATGCTCCATTTCCAGAAAATTAGAACAAAGAGAACTAAACTTTGTCAACTGGTTGATTTCAAATTTAAGAGATTTCACATCCTCAACACTGTCTTTTATCTCCTTAAAACTCAAATCGCGTCTACTTAATTAGGAGAGCTCAAGTCTTATAAACTGAATCTCAAACTCGTTTGTGATCTGGAATATGACAACTTTGCAAAGCACCTGATCAGAAAAAGACATGGGAACAGTTCAGAAAGTTCAGGATTATCCATTAAAAGAATCACCTTGGCCCATAGCCGTCCGGCGTCCAGTGTTGGATTTCGGGTGACTGATCAGGGCCTTCAGCTTCAATGTCAACGTCTTCCAAATCACTTTCAACTTCAATCTCCTCGTGGTGCATAGATGAATCTATCTGGAATTTCCTTCTCTCAAGTTGTCTCTCTAATTCAAGACATCTTTTGATCACCAACCTAGAAATAGAGTCCAAGAATTTGATACTTCTGGGAGACAACTTCAAGTTGGGACAGTCTTCAATTCTCAACTCTTTCAGAGAAGAAAGGTGAATGATTTCAGGGAAATGGACCAAACCAGGACAATCGACAATATCCAACTTCTGAAGAAATTGATATTTTTCCAGGCTCACAGGCAGAGAACCCGATTCAGAGCAATGCAGAATACTAATATGCCTGAGAGAAGCGTAGCTTTGAATGACATCAAAGAGAGTCCCCAAAGTCCTGCAATCGTGTACAGTCAATTTCGCGATAGAGTTTATGCTTCCATAATCATCAGGTGGGCATTTAAACTCTTCAAAGCTGTCGATAACAAGGGAGAGAAGTGGTGGTAAATGGGAAAGTGAGTAAAGTAGCATCTCATTGCTGTTGCATAGAGCCAAGTTCTTGAGATGTTGAGTAAATGGCAAGGCAATCAACATATTGCATCCTTCAATTATCAGCTTCTCAAGGCTAGGAAATGGGGCCTGAATTGTGATCTCTCCACCCATTTTCTCCATCGTGAGGCATTCCCATTCCCACAAATTCGGCATATCATAGAGCTCGAGCTGTCTCAGTGATGGAAATCCTCTGACAGTACCTTTCCCATAAAAGTCATGGCCTATAATTTGCACTGCAGACAACCCTTTTATACAAAGATCCTTGAGGGTCGGTATTTGCCCCAGCGGTGGAAGTTTTTCAAAACTGCAATCAGTAATAGAAACTTTCACTAGATTTGTGAGACCTGAATTCAACCATGAAGGAATCATGGCACCTCTGTATCCTTTTAAATCCAAAACTTTTAGATCCTGGGGTGGCCTAAGGCTATGTATAACATGAGTTGTAGAAATATCATCTCTTGTAATGGCATCGCGACTCCAGGATAATCCCAGTGAATGAATATGAACTTTCTCATGTAGCTTTGCTTCATATCCATCAACTTCATCTCTCACATTCTCAAGATTCTTGATATCTAATCTACCTTCAAGATTCAGAAAATTCAGCTCTTGTAGGTTAGCACTATCTCGTCGCTTACCCAAAATGAACGCTGGAAGCTTCCTAAGAAGCTTTAATTTCCCAATTCCTGAAGGCATATGAATCAAAGAACAACATGATTCTATATTCAGAATCCTCAGATTTGTCAACTGAGGGATAGTTTTGGGTAACTCTTCAAGGTTGTAACAATTAGAAAGTTCCAAAGTCTGCAAATGCTTCAGCTTACTGATGGATTCCGGGATCCTTCTGATATATGTATAAGAGAGATCAAGATACCTCAAATGTTTTAAACTACCAATAGTAACAGGCAATTCAATCAAGACAGTTTGACTCAAATTCAATGCCCGTAAACAGCTAAATCCTCGAAACAGGCTAGAGACTTCTCCAAGTTCCAACTTACCTGAAAACAAAAGCAATGTCCGCAGTTTTTCTTTCTCCAGGATTGTTGATTGTGTAAAATCACCAAGCACAGAGCAATGCTGAACATATCTTCGTATTATTTGTGAACCTCTGATAGACATATTCGAGCATTCAAGCCCCGCAACCTTGACTGCAAGAGCATGCATAAAATCATGCATTTTGCACACTAACACTTGCCCCAAATCATCTCTCACTACATCTTGAAAGAATGAATGCTGCAACAATTCTTCGAAGTAGTCATTCGCAATGTCTTGTAATTCGTTACTTCCATCTTTCGATCTAACGAATCCTTCAGCTATCCACAATTGGACTAACTTCTCCTTGTTGATCCAATAGTCCTTCGGAAAAAGTGAACAAAAGGCGAAGCATTGCTTCAGATACAAAGGTAAATGATCATAACTCTGCTTTAAAACTGACAAGAGATGAGAATTCAATTCCCCCAAAATCCATAAACCATATTGCGCAATAGACAACCATTCTTGCTTGTTTTTTTTACGCAACAAGATGCCTACACTCTTGATTGCTAGAGGCCATCCCCTGCACTTGCCAACAATATCTTGACCAATTTGTTCCAATTCACCACTCTCTTCCTGCATTGATACAAATGCGAAATGCTCAAAAATAGCCCAAGAATCCTCATCAGACAAACATTTCAAGTGTTGTGCAGGAACTGTGCCCATCAAAGCAGCAACACGGCCAGAGCGACTAGTGACAAGAACACAAGATCCTGAATCACCAACGTTTAACCATGATTTCAGTTCCTCAATTTTTTTCTCATCTTCATCCCATACATCATCCAAAACAATCAAGAATCTCTTGTTCTCCCATGGCTTTTCGAACTCAAACACAACCTCATCGCTATTAGTACTTTCACCATACTTTACAACAGGTATTTCCTGTTTAAACATTTCAATATCAAGATTCATACCAACAAAAAACCAAGCTCTAAATGGGAAATGTGATTTCACCTTCTCATCATTGAAAATTCTTTGAGCGAGAACCGTCTTCCCGATTCCACCCATCCCAATAATAGGGATAACACGAAATCTCTCCTCACCATCCTGGCTTCGAAACATGGTGTTCATCACATTAGATATCTCAAAATCTCTTCCGACAACATATTCATCACTTCTTTGAGAGCCCTCTTCAGAAACAAATATTTTTTCTAGTTGAACACCAGGGACAAGCTCGCGGAGCAAATTCAAGTGTCTAACCAGACGTCCATGGATTCTCCTTACCTCCTGGTCAATTTTAGAATTGTTCAACGAGGTGGGAAAGGAGCAGGTTGCTTTAGATTTTCTGGATCTTTCCCAGTCATCGATCAATACATCGATATCATAAGCGAGGTCTCTCAGCACGGTGAGCCAGATCCTGATCGACGGAATTTGGTCGGATCCACCGCGCTCGGTGATGGTGTCCTCCAGGATGGCCTGAGTTTCAGCTAGCTTGAGACGTATCTGTATGAAGTTTGCGCTCAAAGCAGTGACGTGGGAGTCCAGTCTGTCGCATAGCACATCGAGGAGAGGAGACGCCACTGTGCCCGCCATTGATACGCCACACAGAGAAGCTGAAAATCTAAACAACCAGCAAATCAAGACACCTTGTTTGAAATGATTCGGTAATAATTGTTGACTTCTAGGCGATAAGTGTGGAACTGTGGATGCTTTGAGTTCGGGGGATGCTTTGAGTTCGGGGGAATATCGTAATCAACCCAGAGTGGCATCTATGGTATTTTAGCACCCCTAATGGTTTTAGAAACTCATAAATACCACCTTTATGCTTGAAGTTATGGGTCGCATCGCAGCTATTCCATTACTCTTTAGGGCGCGTTTGGTTATAGGAAATATTAGATTACTGGAAATGTTATATTAACTTGAAGATTATTCGGAATCTTTAGGAAAATGTGTTTGGTTAATTGGTGGGTATGTTACATTAATATGTTTGGTTGGGAAGAATAAATTGGTAAGTATGTTATTTAAATTACTGAATTGTCCTCTAATTAAATATTATTATTATATTATTTTTTAATATTGATTATTATTTGGATTATTATAAGAGCATCTCCAAATGACTCTTTATATAACATAAGAGAAATACTATGCAGACTCCTCATTTTTACTAACTAATCTACAACATGATGTGGTGTCTGACGTGGCAGTGCCAATTCATCTGCCACGTCAGTCACTTGCTACATCAGATAAAAAAAAAAAATTCTGAAAATTTTTTGCGCTGGGTTACGGAATGAATTTTTGCCTCCAAAAATTTTGCCTCCTTAATCTTTGCTCCCTAATCTCAGCCTCCCTAATCTCAATCTTAAAATCTTCTCCCAAATCCCAATCTTGATAACCTAAATCTTGTCTTCAAATCCCAATCTTAATAACCTAAATCTTCTCCCAAATTAAATCATAGTCAAAACCCAAATCACCCATCCGAATTTGAGCATTTGAACTGCCGGTTGTGACATCCATAGTTGTCGTCGCATTTGTCTCTGTTGCTGACCAGTGAGAGTTCCTTTTGAGTGGTAAGAGCTTACTCACTCAATGGTCTCTCTTACTTACTTGCTGCTGGTGGAAGAAGTGGAACACAACACTTGCTTGGTGCTTTTGAGTTGAGAACCATGAACAAGTGTGTATAAATTTTATGATAAACAATATTATAGTAAAAAGAAGCTTTGTAAATCCAATAAATTGAGGAAATTTTGTGCAAATGTAAAACGGTGAAAGGGAACTGTACAATTTGGGGAAGAAAAGATGAAAATCGGATGACTTGGTGACTGGTTTTAGTAACGCCTGTAACCTTTTTCTTGAGGACTAATAATGTAGTTTTCAACAAGACACTTAGAAATCTTTTATATTAGTTATCATAAATCATAGATATAGGATGGTAAAGTAACCATTGGACTGTCTTTCCCAATTTTCAAGTGCACACAGAAACATATTTGTTCTGTCATTTTTGTTTCTTTAGATTTAGTAACTCGTAGCAAATATCCGTTGTAAAGGTACTGTCTTTTTGCCCCTTATTTCATAAGGATATTCTTTGTTTTCTACCTTCTTGTTAAAAATTAGTTTCTTGTTATATATCCAGGAGAGATGTTCCTTGGTATTTAGAAAACATTTAGTTTTACAACATAGGGTAGTGTTACTACTTTGATTTGATGTGCTAGCTTATATGGTTTGGATTGTTGTATCTTTACACATAGTTGCTGCATGTGGATAAATGGGAATCATAGAGAGTACCAGTAATGAAACAGGTGTTGAATGAACTTTTTGCATAAATGTAATAGATTATCTTCCTGATTTAACTGTAATTATTGTTTTTCTTAATTATTAATACACAAGTTTAGTTTAGTTCATTGCATTCAAAATGAATTAAGTGTTAAGTGTTTTGCAGAGGAGGCAGAAATAGAGGCGATAACTGCAGGAGCAGACAAGGAGAGATAAATGAACAGTTAAAGGCTCAGTTTCTAATACTGAAAGGGTAAGCATTGTAATGAAACGAATATTTATATGTACAATGAGTACCCATGTTTTATGATAAATGATAAATTTTTGGTTACGCACAAGTTAATATAGTTTAAAAAAAAAAAATTGATGGTTTTGTTTTCTTCATGTTTGTTATCTTATAATATTCTAATCTAAGTATTAATATAAATGATCAGGATAATCAATTTGAAGAAGTGAGATAGAGGAAGTACAAAGGAGGAATGGGAGCCGAAGCCTGGATGGTTTTTGATTCACTTGATAATCTTCAATACTACAAAAGTTATGGGAATAGAAGGGGTTTGAGTTATTATAAGATCCTCAAGGAATGAGATGATGGACAGGTGACAAACGCAACACTAGCTTGTTTTGTACTGGGAAGTGAGTAGTAACACTCGAAATGCTTTAAGTACCCAGTGAACAAGACGGATTGTAAGGCTCGAGTTGGTGCAGCTGTACGTAGTAATGGAAAATGGCAAATATGTTCAGTGGGGTTGAATCAAACCATGAGCTCAGTAGCCCAACGAAAACTAGATTTCAAGAACAATCTGGTATACAACCATAGTGAAAAGGAGACTCGTAATAAATGATAGGGCCGGGATTAGGCCGAATAAAAATTTCAATTCCATGTCAGTTGAAGCAGGCGGTCTGAGAATTTGACTTCTTGCAAAAAGATTGTAGGAACTATATGAAAAAGTTAGGAGGATGCGACTTGGTGCCGGGGACGTATGCAATCCAAAATATTTTTGAAAATGCAAAAAGATAATGCAAATTTCTTTTACATGATGGATTTGATGAGGAGGGTCGATTACAGAATGTTATATGGGTGGATGCAAGAAGTAGGGTGCATTAAGGAATTTGGCGACGTTGTCACATTTGACACTACAACTTGACCAAAAGTACGATATGCCATTTGCGGCATTTGTTGGGTTAACCATCATGGGCATTCAACCTCTTAGGTTGTGGGTTAATCTCCATGAGGACACGAGACTTTGTTTGGCTTTTGAATCTTGGTTGCATGTATGTGGAATTGTGCTCCAAATGCATGATCACTGATCAAGACAAGGCGATGACAAATGCAATCGAGATTGTGTTTCCGGTACACGGCATAGATGGTGTTGTGGCATATAATGAAGAAACTGCCGGAAAAGTTAAGGGGTTACAGCGATACGAACGTATTAAGTTTGCTTTGCAAAATGCTGTGTATGATTCATTGACATGTGAGGAGTTCGAACAACGTGGACTGGATTCATTGATAAATACAAGCTTCACAACAATGAGTGGTTACTTGGACTGTATAATGAAAGACAAAGTTGGGTGCCAGCGTTTGTAAAAGACACCTTTTGGCAGGTATGTCTACCACTCAACGGAGTGAAAGTATGCATGCATTTTTGATGGGTATGTAAATTCTAAAACCACTTTGAAACAGTTTGTAGAACAGTATGAGAATGCACTGTGTGATAAGTAGAAAAAGAAAAGGAGGTGATTAGATCATGGAATCATGGATTCCTTGCATAACCGGTTATCCAATGGAGGAAACAATTCAGGACGCATACACGATCGCAAAATTCAAAGAGTTTCAGCAAGAGCTTATGCTAAGTTGCTATGTGAGATATCTTCTTTCCGGGCCACTGAATCTGAATAGATATATTGTAAAGGAAGTTGTTGTGGTTGGGAGACATGTCGTAGTGTGCTTTTTGTGGTTTGCTATGATGATCGTGGTTGTGATGTTCGTTGCAACTGTCGATTGTTGAGTTTGGAGGGATTATTTGTCGACATGCAATAGCGGTGTGCTTCATAAAGAGTGTTATCATATACCTGAAAAGTTCATTTTTAGAAGGTGGAGGAAAAATGTATATAGAGGACAGGAAGATAGAGGAGTTATAATAGCTGGAGACGACTGCTGAAGGAGAACGGTTTGATCAGTTGTCTAATTCATTTTCTGAGGTGGTGATTTAGCCTCAACCAATATTGATGATAGTAATATGGTGATGCATATGATTACTGACATGAAAAAGAAATATTGTCAAATGAACTTGCTGGCAGGATTGATAGACATGGTGACATGTCATGTCACAGTGGATCAAATTTTGTGTAGTGTTCATGCTAATTCCACAGAGGCAAGCAATAAAATTTTAACTCCGGGTGTTCGTTGCAAAGGTCGACCCATCAAAAGGAAGCAATCGAAGCTCGAACAAAATGTACATAAAGGTAAACAAAGAAATTTCATGAAAAGTGTGTGTTGCGACATCCCGAATCGATATATGATGGGATTCCAAGAAACCAAGCAAGCAAATGAACCTTTCAAGACGCGATTAACTTCCAAGGATGTGAAGAAGGTTCATATATTAAGTCAGGTATGATTCATTAATTCTGGCCTTTTCTTTTTAGTGTACAATTAATTCTTAAGTCATTTTTTTTACATTTTCCAGAATTACAGTGAAAGGTCAGTCGCTTATAGGTCGTATCCAGCAGATTCAAACTTGTGAATGAAGAATAATGGGTGAAGACCATGGTGAAAAGAATAGACAGTTTGAAGATGTTATACGTAAAGTTGTATTATATAATTTATTTTGTGTTTTTATAATCCAAGCTAAAGATATCATGCTGTTCTTGGATAATATTTTGTTCTTGTATCATATATGTGGCATGTTCTTACCCTGTATCATGAACATATTTTGTTTTCGTATAATATTTTGTACATGCAAGGCATCAATTTAAAAGATGCAAGATTTACTATAAAAAAAAAACACTTTATTAATACAATGCTGATATTAGCCATCTGTACATATTTTCACCAAAACAAAACATGACCCCACAACATAACACTGGGGAAAGAAAATCTAAACTTGAAGCATTTGAAAACCTAAATTAGAAGCAATAAATTACATCAGTGAGTTGCAAAAATTGGTTCTCTTTAAACAAGTTGAGTCCAATGAGCTGACTTTTGATTCTGAACAATCAATTTTGTGATTTCTTGATGGTTGCGGGTGGTTGCAAGGGTGCTGGGGGGGTGTAGGTTGGTGAAATCTAGGTTGGGCAAGGCCAAGAAAGGTGGTGGGACGCGGGGGAGGGTAGGGTGGCTTGGGTACAGTGGGGGCAGCTGTGGTGGCGGGTGATGGCTGGAAGTGACTGCAGTGGACAGAAAAAAGGGGGTAGTGTGTGGTGGGCAATGGCTGCAGTGGTTCCAAAGGTGCTGGCGGTTTAGGTTGGTGAAATCTGGGTGGGCAAGGCCAGGAAAGGGGTTGGGGTGCGGGGAGGGCAGGTGGCTTGGGTACAGTAGGAGGCAGCTGTGGTGGCGGGTGATGGCTGGGAAGAGATTGCAGTAAAGGGGGGGCAGTGTGTGGTGGGGGTGGGCTGGGAAGTGAATGCAGTGGACAGAGAAAGGGGGCAGTGTGTGGTGGGGAATGGCTGCAGGTGGTTGCGGGTGCTGGCGATGTTAGGTTGGTGAAATGTAGGTTGGGCAAGGCCAAGAAAGGTGGTTTAGGGCATGGGAGCTGCTTGCGCGCGCAGGCGCTTGCTGCTTATCCTGGTTTGGGTTTTGGCAAATGGTTGAGCAGGTGGTGAGCATATTTAGGTGGTAAGGTGACTGATTGGCTGATGCATGGGGAAGGCCGGAAAACATTACAACCAATCAAACAACACAAACACTCCTAATATAATCAATCTCCCATCAAACAAACTCCAACAAAATACGCCAATCAAGTTGCATTCCCCACATCCATTCCTCCCGTAAGCCAAACCACCTTACTGGACCATTTGTCATTTTCATATTTCAACTGACTCAATATCCTCCCTTAAGCGAGCCTTACTTTGTACCATTGATTCACTAGACACTCAATTTTGAAGTTAAAAAAATGGATCAGCAATTTGTAATCTGCAAAGTATCTGCAAAGCATAAGCCCTCACAATCTACTACCCAAAATGTTATTAGGAAACTGTCAAGCCACGAATAAAGAAAATAACCTCTATTACATATATACGTACTGCAACAGCAAATCAATTGACCATGCTCCAGATTTAAATGGCTGGTATTTTAATCTTGTAATATAAAGAATGACTCCATTTTCAGTCTTCGGTATTAAAAAATGTATAGAAATTAAGCCATGTGAAGCCATGCAAATTAAGTCAACTCTTTTGCATTAAAAATAAATCAATATTTTTCAGTATTAAAAATAAATTCAGAGACACACCAGGAAGAATGCCAAACATGAATCAATACTAAGCAAATAAATAGTCATTTTAAACGAAGTGTGTGTACGTTGTTGCATAGTGCTCCACAAGGATATGTTCACACAATGCTGCATCACACACAGATTCATTCTCATCGGCAAGACCTGTATGAAATAAATAGCTTACAAAATCACCATATATATTGCCAACATATACCATAAATACCATTGCTTGGATCAATTTCAGTTAGCTTGTTCACCGCAAATTCTGCCAAATCCATATGACCATGTTATATCCATAAGCAGTGAACCCCAGACAACCTCATCAGATTCAATCTCATTTCATTGACAACTTCCAAGGCTTCTTCAAATTTCCTGCTTGACAGAGAAGATCTATAAGCATCCATAATGCTCAATCCGAGGCTCAATCCCATAATCCTAGTCATCAATCAAAATAAGAACGACCCTTCAACCAATCCTCCATGTGTACAAGCATCAACAATCCATAAATGAAACAATCACAAACCCAGAAAACAAGTTCAAACGGAATAAGCCTTGTCACATGGAGGATTGGTTGTGAGTGTTCAGAATAAGCCTCTGGTGTTTGTGATGTAACAGATCCAACCAAGCCATAAACTTCAGAAGTCTTAGGACCAAACCCAGATAAGTCTTGTCATCATGATCTAAAAATGACACAGTTGCTCCCTTCTCTTTGAAAAACTTAATATTCTTCTTGGAATATTAACCGAATATCGATCCTCCATCACCTCCTCTTAAAACTTCAATTCTATTCCTGGAACCAAAAACAATAATGTAGCTCCAATAACCGATCTTTATAAATTGATAACAATTAATCTCAGAAATAGAAAAAAAAAAAAACCCTTATTATAAGAGATACCAGAGAGAATGTATAAAAAGTGTTCTCCACATTTTTGCCTTTTCAAGTGAATGTATACATTTGTTTTTTTTTTTTTTTTTTGAATTCAGTAAAAGAGAAAAAACCGAAATTCATAGAACATACCAAAACAAAAATGCTCAATAACACAATTAAGATCTAATATTATTTATTACAATTGAGTTTCAGAAATGTTTCAGGTCTAAAATTCATACATGAAAACAGCAAGAACATACGCAGCGTATTCTGAAGGGTTTTTGTCAAGGGAGGCCGGTGAGGTGAAAGGTGGCGTCGGGGTAGATTTCCGATGTCGAAATCGACCGAAAATTGGTTTGAAGAGTGCGAACCCCAGATGAGCGGCGACTGGCGATTGGTGGGTGATCTTCGGTGGGGATGATAGGGGTTTTGGCCAGGGGAGGTCGGTGAAGTGAAAGGTGGTGCCGGAGTTTATTTTCGGTGCCGAAATGGTGGCTGCCGATTTAGGGGAGAATGGACAAAAAATTTGTAGGTGGGAAATTTTGTTTGGGAATTTTTTTTTTAAACTATCTGATGTGGTATGTGTGCAGATGAGTTGTCATTGCCATGTCAGATGCCACATAATGTTGTAGACAGGTTAGTAAAAATCAGTAGTATACATAGTATTTCTGATAACATAAACACTTTATTATAAAGAGTCTATCCATAAAAACAAGAGTCCAACATACTATTTATCTTTAAAATATAAATTAGAGACTGAGTTTGGCTCTCCACATTTAGAGAGTCAAATTTCACTCTCTATGCTAATTTTAATTAATAAACTACAAGTTCTTATGCATTTTATTTATTAATTCCCTCTCCCATTAAATCTATTTCTTAAAAATAAAGAGCATCTTCATTAAATTTAAAGAGTCTATTGGATTTGAATAAAAAATGTGTTCTTTATATTTTAAAATTAATGAAGATATTCTTTATTTATATGAAAGATACTCTTCAAAATAAAGAGCACCATTGGAGATGCTCTAACCTCCCTGCATTTAAAAACTTGGCAAAAACAATCTCATAATAAAAGTTTAAAAAATCAACAAAGCACCCCTACCAACCTAGCCACTACAGGCTGTCGGCAACTACTGCAGGCCACCGATAGCCGACAACTTAACGACACACGAAAGGTAAGAAATGACCTCCTTACACCGTATGGCCATTTTCAGACAGAGATCTGGTCGGAAATGGTCAGACATGACAGATCTGGCTATTAACAGCCATAGACGTGATCTGGCCGTTAACGACCATAGACGTGATCTGGCCGTTAAAGGCCATAGACGGGATCTAGCCTTTAACGACTAGATCCATGACGGATCAAGCAGTCAACGGCCAAATCTATTGATCTGGCAGTCAACGACCAGATTGATGGCCATTGACGGCCACAGACATGGCCATTAACGGCCATTGACGGCCACAGACATGGCCATTAACGGCCATCGATCTGGCCATTGATGACCAGATTAGATTTGGCAGTCAAGAGTCAGATTTGGCACGATTTGGCCGGAAATTGCCATATCGATGCACAACGGCCATTTTTGACCTTCCGTGCAACGTTCCGACTGCGGTAGCAGCTGGCCGCGGTGGTGGTTGCCGACGGCAGGCAGTGGCAAGTGGGTGGGGGTAGTGGCTTGTGTGGGTTGCAATTTATTTTGAATTCAAGAGTAATTTTGTCCCAAAAGTTAATTAATTGGGATAAAATAGTAAAAGCCATATTCATGTAAATAAATTTAAAAAATAAGGACATTATTGTCCTAAAATTTTATTAATAAGGGATATAATTGTAATGAAAAAAAAATACCCTAGTAATCTTAGAATACCTAAGAAAATAGAGGTAATCAAATTACCTCAAATATAACCAATAGTAATTACTATGATATTTGAAGATTACTGGAATCTTATATTACTTGACAATCAAACGTGATAATCAAGTAATATAAGATGATATAACTCTAGTAATCTCACATTATCCCAAACCAAACACCAGGGTTATTAGTGGAATTTTATTTCACATTCCACAATCACAGGAAAGGAGCCTGAGATTCAGTTTGTTACGTTTGAGTCCCCATAATTAGGTAGATGTACGGACTTGGTCTCTAAAAGAGACCACTTCTATTTGGTTTGTGTTTTACGCCATAGGAGGCTTTTAAGTGGATCAACCGTTCAAGTGTATAAGCGTAAAAGAAGTGGGGGCTTTTAATAGTTTTTAAAATACGTGGACTACATTAAATTTAGCGACTCTTCTCTTTTACTTTTACCGCTAACTGGTAAGAAGAAGAATTCGATTTAGTTTGATTCAAAATCAAATCGAAGTATTTGAATGGTCAAGATGCGCCAGAAAAGTCGCACCAAAAGTTTCTGCAAAGAACTAATGCCACCTCCTAAATGAGGATGTAGTGATCAGGTCAAAGCTCTACCGATCTGCTCTCTAAAGGCATCAGTTTCAGTCTTTTCTTCTCAGGATTTCATTCAGAAGAAGCGATGCCGAAGCTTTCCGGTTAGTTTCAATTTAAAGAATGGCTTCTTCGTCATCGTTGATTTGTTTTCAATTTAATTGCATCATATTCTCAAATGATATGGATAATTGAGGTCAATTTCTTTAAATAGGCATTTTCATATTAAATTTAAAACAAAAATTATAAACCAAATTTTGTATGGTAAAAATTAATAATAAATCTCCGACTGTGATTGTGGGGATTGCCTTTAGGCAAATATTGTCTAGTCAAACATTGAAAATTGAACTAATTGGGCATGTTATATGTGTATTTTAAAGGGTAGGTTGGTAGAATCAAGCACTCGGTAAATTTACTCAAGTTTTAACACAATTTGTGAGCTATTCGATTGATGCAAATGAATTGAGATTTGGTGTTAATTTGATTTGAGAAAATGGTTTCTTAAATTTGTTCCATCAGTAATATTACAAAAGACGGAAAGTCTTAATTGTGAGAAGCATACCACACCATTTGTTTACTAGTCCAAAAAATTCTTGCTGTATGCATTTATTTTTCTTTCATGGACCGAAATTATTTTGTGTATGTGGAAAGATTTTATTGTATGAATATATAGTTGCTGTGGTATCCTTTTGCCATCTTAAAACGCTCTTAATGTTGACTTACAAACTTTAGTATACAAATTGATAGGACATGAACATAGTAGAAGAATGAAAGTAAATTAAAATAAATGATGTGGCAATTGGACAATAGTCCTATTTCAGTTTTTATACTAGAGTTTGTAAGTAGTAATGTATCACTCTTATATTATACTAGCATTCACTCTCTGTTTTCCAAATAGTTGATTAATTTTTCCTTTTTGGATGATACAAAACTCGTTTGTCTATTGTGTTCATGTTAACAGAAATTTTAATATTGATGATTCCTTGTGTTCATGCATGATGTCTGTCTTTTGGTATTTTCCATGTTCAATTCCTGTGTTTGTGAAGGAAAGTTACAAATCAGGCACATCATGTTAGTTCTCTTAATTAAAACGTGAATTTTCTTGTGACATCTGTTAAGTTGGCATTTGGGATGACAACTTCTACAAATACCATTCAGATGAGATAGTTCCTTTTTTTTGTTTTTTGTTTTTTTTTTTGATGTATTAATGCTAATAAAAAGAAGTCAGATACAAGAGTGGATGACATATCCACAGTGAGAATAGATTTTTCCATAAGAGGTGTCGAAAACTATACAAAAATATTAAAAAGCACTGTGTATCTATAAAAATTTAACAGCCCCAAAAACTTATACTAGTCAAACAAGATATTACTATGAAATCAACACATAATTGAGTTGTACAGGTTGTCTCATGTATGGCCACAAGATACAGAATCTCTCCTTTTTCGTAAGACATTGATTGGGATTATATGCATATATATCAAGACTGTGAATGTTTGTTTATACAAAATACTATATACAATGTTCAATCCTTCTACTTGATAGATCCTTACCCCTGTTCTGAATACTGCAGCTGCTGTGGAGTTCATGCATTGTGGGATGATAAAACCTGCAGTTTTGCACTGTCAGGGAATTGGTCATGCAGAAAGGCATGAAAGGAATGTTGAATTGCTCAAACAGAAAACTGAATATTTATATGATATGAGAGATTCTGTTAAGCAAGAACTAATTAAAGAATTAATGTTCGGGACATGTGAAACAATGGAATATCAGAAATGGCTTAGCAAGGAAAGAGAAATTGAATATTGTGTGAATGACATGGTAAGATTTAATAAGGAGAATTCAGATGGTCCAGTATTATCATGTATGAAACCACCAGATATTGATCTCATGAATACACTTGATGAGGTTACTTACCATTTAGAGAATGTTCCATTGGGGCATCATTCAGTGGCTCATGCACCATATAGGGAAACAAAAACATTGACCAGCTCAAGAAGTGCTGGCAAGACATATGGAAAGGTTGAAAATACCAAGAATGTGAAACAGAAAAGCAAGGCTGGGAGTGGACGTGAATCAAACATTGAAGTGCTGGTTCAGGGGAAGAAAGCTTCACAGAAAGAAATGGCACATAGTGAATCAGCACAACCTCTAGATAAATTTAGTTCCAAGATTGGACATAATAGTGCGATGTTCAGTTCACTATTGCATCGTTCAGAGGGTCAATCGCGACAGACGGCAACAAAGACATCATCCGATCCTAGAACTGGAAGCAAGACATATGGACCGGTTGAAAAGTTTAAGAATGTGAACCGGAAAATAAAAGCTGAGAGAAAAGGCATATCAAATGTGGAAGCATCAGTAAAGAGTCTGCAGGGTTCACCAGCATCATATAGATCTTCTGCTCAGATTTTAAAAGGAGGTTCAGTTGTTCAACTTGAAGATGCGATGACTTCTCCTATATCAAGTGACTTTGAGGAGCCAATTGAGTCATTATCTACGGCATTTACAGAATCTTTGTCAGCTGGGGATCAGACTTACACATCAAGCCTGGAAACAAAAACAGAATATGAGATGCATTCATTACAAACAGATACTTCATCCTTGCGTGAATCTGAAATTCAACATACTTCAGGTGAAACAATTAGGGGATTATCTGCGCATGTGGCAGGCTCTGGGGAAACTATTTCTGATGAAAATGAAAGGATGCCTCCAATTCATGAGACAGAATTTGAGACTGTACCTGCTCAGATTGAAGGAGAAGATCAGATGCAGCCTAAGTTTAATGCCAGTGTTGAGCAATCAGTTGAGTCTGGTGCCCGGGTAGCAGTTTTCAGATCAGACCCAAATAGTATAACTGCTGTAGAACTAGTGACAGCTTCTTCTTTCCAGAAAGAAGATGAAATTCCAACCGTGAATAAATCTGAGACTGAGATCGCTTGTAATATTGAAAGAGATCAGCAGTGGCTTGAATCAGGTTTAGATATCAGGGGATCAATTGAAAGAACTGTGCTGAAGATCTTGAGAATCATGGGTGATGTTACAGCTAGAAAAATCGGTGTTCATGGAATTGGTGGAATTGGCAAGACTACTTTGTTGAAAGCCTTGAGCAGTTACCCTGAAACAAAACGTTCATTTGACTTGATTATCTTGGTGACTGTCTCAAGATTTTGGAGCATGAGAAAGATCCAAAATGAGGTTTTAAGACAGCTGTCATTATGTTGTGAAGATTGTGAAACTGATTTTCAAGTTGCTGAAAGATTATTTCATGTTTTGAGTAGGAGGAAGTTTTTGTTGCTTCTAGATGATGTCTGGGAACAGGTTGATTTAGAGGCTGTGGGAATTCCTGATCCTAGTTCAGAAAATGGATGCAAGGTACTAGTGGCATCTAGAAAATTGGACATTTGCCATGCCATGGATGTGGTTAGAGACGTTGAACTGGGAACTCTCTCAGGAGAGGAAGCTTGGGAACTGTTTTATGAACAAGTGGGTGGAATCATTGACTCGCCCAATATCCGGCCTTTTGCCCAAGCTATAGTTGAGGGCTGTGGTGGTTTGCCACTATTGATTGTTGTTACTGGAAGGGCATTAAGTGATGAAAGGAGTATTTCTGTTTGGGAGCATGCATCGAGGAAATTGTCACTGCCTAGTGCTGGAATATATCAAGTAGAAGGTGTAATCCAAAAATTGAAGTTCAGCTTTGACCAATTGAAGGATCATGAAACAAAGAGTTTTTTCCTCCATTGTTGTTTGTTTTCAGAAGATCGAGAGGTTAACATTTTTGAATTTATAGAATATTGCATCGAGGAAGGTATTATAATTGGGAGTCGGGCTGATGCACATAGGAGGGGACTCGATATTGTTGATGTTCTAGTTTGTAATTTTCTGTTGCAACTTACTGAAGGTGGTGATTCCATCAAAATGCATGGTTTGGTAAGAGATTTAGCTCTGGGGATCTTGTCAGTGGCAGAAGGTAGTCAGTATCTATTGAGAACTGCTTATTCAAGATTAACAAAACCATCAAGTCCAGGTGGTAGTCTATCTTCCATCTCACCTAGAAGTCCAGAAGGCAACAAATTGTTTGTTTCTGAAAGTCATCAATTCTTATTGAGAGCTGGTGCAGGTCTAACTGAAGCACCTTCAGAGGAGGAATGGAAAAAAGCCAAGATGATCTTTTTGATGATGAATGAGTTATGCACTCTTCCTGAGAAACCAAGTTGCCCTGAACTTTTGATGTTGTATCTTCAAAGAAACTATCAGCTGAGGATGGTACCTGTGTCATTTTTTGACTCCATGACTTCACTCAAAGTGTTGAACCTGTCTAAGACCAGAATCAAATCATTGCCAAAGTCACTTTTTAAGCTTGAAAACCTCCAAATTCTCATTCTACGTGATTGTGAACGCCTAATTGTGCTCCCTCCCGAGGTTGGATCTCTTGAACGTTTGGAGGTGCTTGATGTTCAAGGCACTCAGATTAGTAGATTACCTGATGAAATCGTTAAATTGGCATCGTTGAGACATTTGCTAGTATCCTTTTATGGATCTAGCAACTACGAGTATGGTAACTTGCCACATAAATTGATTTCAAGTGGGATTTTATCAAGGTTGCACTTGTTAGAAACTCTAAGTATTGTTGTGTACCCTGGAGATCAACGGTGGTACGAGGATGTGAAATCAGTCATACTTGATGTCAACATCTTGACAAAGTTGAGATCTCTCTGTTTTGATTTCCCAGAAGTAGATCTTCTTGATCTGTTCCTCCAAACAAGCGTACCATGGAAAACTCAACAATTAACTAAGTTCAAATTTGTGGTAGGTCACGATATCAAGAGCATAACCTCTCGGGTGCCATACTATGTGGAGTTTGATTATAGTCAACAAATTCGATGCTTGTGATTCGTAAATGGTGAGAATATGTCTGATACAGTTCTTAGAACATTATCTCGTAGTACTGCTTTCTATCTAGATCATCACCTTTGCGTTCGTGGTCTAACCAACTTTGGAGTTGATAATGTCAATGGGTTGAATTTTTGTATATTAAGTGAATGCCCCAAGATTGAAACACTTGTGGATAGCAGGGAACTTACCACGACTATTTTCCCAATCCTGGAGAACTTAAGTCTTCATTATTTGTGGAATTTGACACATATTTGGCAAGGAAATTTACCGAAAGGAAGCTTTGCTGAGCTAAAAATTTTGTCAGTGCATGCATGTCCAAAGGTGAAATATATGTTTAGCAGTTCAATGATTCAATTTGTTCCTAAATTAGAGGAGTTGACAGTTGAAGATTGTCTTGCCATTGAAGAAATCATTCATGAGAGTGAGATAATTGATTCTGGTTGCAACACACTCCCCACTTTGAAGAAGTTAACTCTTCATTATTTACCCGGATTAGTTAACATTTGGACGAGTTCTTGTGCCCCTCTAGAGCGTATTAGTTTCTACAATTGCCCTAACTTGAAGAAGATTTGTAAGGATTCCATATCAAAAGAAACAGTTATAGAGATTAGGGCAGAGAAGAGTTGGTGGGATGAATTAGAGTGGGAAGATATTGAATGGCATTTGCATCTTCAAGACCGTTTCATGGCTATTTGTGAAGAAGATTTGTAGAAAAAAATTACCAGCTCAGATAAACTTAAGGGTTTAGTCTTGGCACACCCACTTCGCTAGCAAACAAGTCTAGGATTTAGTTTATAGATTAGTCCTCATATCTAAGTAGGCGCTTTCCTAAAATGAATTCCGTACAGGTTTGTGTCCAAAGCGGATAATGTCTACATATTTGGAACTAGAATAACACAAATCTAGTGGTTGACAATTGTTGTCCAAGTATTAACTCTTTTAAGAATTTGTTTGAACTCTAAAATGCTTTAGATTATTCAACTAATTTTGATTATTCAAGTTACCTACCTATTCTTATATGTTTCTATCTATTATAGTATAATGAAATTGATTATTCAAGTTACCTACCTATTCTTATATGTTTCTATCTATTACAGTATAATGAAAGTGATTATTCAAGTTACCTACCTATTCTTATATGTTTCTATCTATTATAGTATAATGAAATTGATTATTCAAGTTACCTACCTATTCTTATATATTTCTATCTATTACAGTAGAATGAAATTAAGCAAGTTTTTTGTTTGTTCTAGATGTTGTTGCTTCTTCAAAATCCAATCCTAATTCCCACACCTGAAAGTTTCTAACTGTTCCCACGATTGCAAACAATATGATCAAAGTTGCAAAAATTTTTTAAGCAATAGTTCTAGAAAACAACATTAAACTCNAGAGTTGGTGGGATGAATTGGAGTGGGAAGATATTGAATGGCATTTGCATCTTCAAGACCGTTTCATGGCTATTTGTGAAGAAGATTTGTAGAAAAAAATTACCAGCTCAGATAAACTTAAGGGTTTAGTCTTGGCACACCCACTTCGCTAGCAAACAAGTCTAGGATTTAGTTTATAGATTAGTCCTCATATCTAAGTAGGCGCTTTCCTAAATTGAATTCCGTACAGGTTTGTGTCCAAAGCGGATAATGTCTACATATTTGGAACTAGAATAGCATAAATCTAGTGGTTGACAATTGTTGTCCAAGTATGAACTCTTTTAAGAATTTGTTTGAACTCTAAAATGCTTTAGATTATTCAACTAATTTTGATTATTCAAGTTACCTACCTATTCTTATATGTTTCTATCTATTATAGTATAATGAAAGTGATTATTCAAGTTACCTACCTATTCTTATATGTTTCTATCTATTATAGTATAATGAAATTGATTATTCAAGTTACCTACCTATTCTTATATATTTCTATCTATTACAGTAGAATGAAATTAAGCAAGTTTTTTGTTTGTTCTAGATGTTGTTGCTTCTTCAAAATCCAATCCTAATTCCCACACCTGAAAGTTTCTAACTGTTCCCACGATTGCAAACAATATGATCAAAGTTGCAAAAATTTTTTAAGCAATAGTTCTAGAAAACAACATTAAACTCAGAAGTATTAACGAAATTATGACTAAAACACATATATGTTAAAATCATATAGTCTTTACAGTATGATTTATTTTATTTAACTCCACACTTCTGAAAAAAAAAATTAAGTGGAATTTTAATACTTTTACAAGGGTTTTATAGTAATCTTTGAGATATAAATGATAATACCAGAGATTTTTAATAAATAGTAAGTACATTTAATAGTAATCAATCTTATAGGGAGTGAACGAAATAAACCTTTGCAAAAATGAGTAAGTTGAGTAAATGCTACAAAAGTTGAGTAAATGCTACAAACTTTGGTGATTGCAATAAACTTACTGCTAGCAATATACTAAGGCAAACACATCGTCTAAAGTAGAAACATCATCGATAAATTTCAAAATGTCCATCAACAATCCACACTAAAAACCAAATCGAAAGCACCAGCTGTTCTTTAAGCCCATTTAATACAAAAATTATAAATTGAACAGTTGTGTGCATTTGAGTTTCCTCATACGAACTGATGAAAACTATGAAAATGATCTCTAACATCAGCATTTGGCCAAACCAACTGGTTCCACCAAGCTTGAGTGCACCAGATTGCTCTCAATTTGGTTGCATTCTCGACAGTAAATGGGAAATCTTTTAGCTCCTCACAAGTTTTGATCATTACTGTCTCCAGAGAGAACCATGCGAATGATATATTGTGGCATATTTTTGACAAACTTGGCAAATTAATGAGTTGCAAATTTTTCAGTTTGAGAAAGGCAGTAGATCCAACAACATTTCTGGCATCAATAATCTCTTCAAGCCCTCTGCAATACTCAACTTGTAGATGCTGTAGCTGCTTAAGTTGTAGAACCATTTCTTGCGATAAAAGTGTCTTCACGCTATGACATCCTTTCATCGTCAGAGATGTGAGCATGCTGAGGCTTTGTGATTCTATAGAACCTTTCCAAATATCAACCAAATTTGGGAGATCTTTTATATATAGCTTCCTCAAGCACTGAAATACAACTCCTCTTGTAACATTATTATCGATGATGCTTGTCATTTCACTGCAATCATCAATTATACAAACTTCAAGCCCTCCTAATTTATCAGCACCAAAAACTGATAAGTTGGTAGCAGTACGATGACCAATGAGCTCGAAAACACAAGACTGCTCCAATATCTTTAAAACAGCATCAGGGAATCCTTCACCATCAGAAAATCTAAATTGCTTTTCTGCTGAGCATCCAGAGATATCAACTTCGGAAAGAGAGCTGCTTCGATGGTGAGAACCAACAAAGATGTTGAATGATCTAAAGCTGTTGCCGCTCCAAAGTGTTTTGTTTCCATTCCAAGATTTACTTGTATTAATAAAAGTCTGGAAGCAATCCACCTTAGGAAAGCAAAAACTAAGAGTAGTCAAGTCTTCTAGTGCAGCAATTTCTGTAGCAATATTTTCTACAATTTGATTCCATCTTCTGTTGTTGGGTTCCACAGAAATAATCAACTCTTCCAGCGAATACAGCCTCGCAATTACATTAGAAGAAATCATCTCACTCAATCCAGCCTCAGTATGATTGTGATTCCCAACAGTTTCTGGAAATGAAACTCTCAAACACTTGAGATTGGTCAAGTGTCCAATATCAGTTGGCAAACTATAAATTCCTGTGTGACGTATATCAAGTATTTCAAGACTATGGAGATCGCCCACCTCAGCAGGCAACTGCTGTAATTGAATACAATTGTTTAGGAAAAGAGCTTTGAGATTTATCAAGCTGGAGATAGACAATGGAAGTAACTTGATTCCTGTATTTTGCAAGTCAAGAAGTCGAAGGCTACACATATACCCAAAGAATGATCCCGGAAATTCTGCCAAGTTACTTTCTTGAAGTAACAAAGTTAAGATTCTACAACATTTGGGCCTTCTTGGTAGAGTTGATAAACAGAAACGAATAAGGGAGATCCTGTTTGCATGTTCCCATTCTTCTTCTCTGATTTTTTCTCCTTCTTTCACCAAAATTCTGAAACTTTTCTCATCGAGATTGGCGATTCTTAATGCTACCCGTTGAAAATGCTCAAACATCTTGTAGTGTGCCACATTCCTTCCCTTTTCCAACAGAGATTTCTGAACAAATTCATCCAAAATAGCATGCCCTCTATCGCGTGCCTCTCCTAGCTTTTCTAGGTGCATGAAGAACTGTTCAGCTCTCCAACAGTCAACAATATAATCTTGGTGAAGTTCATAGCCAGCAGGGAAAATTGCCCAATATAGTAAGCAAGTTCGCTTTTCTAAGTGCAATTTGTCACAAACAAGTTTAAAGAACTTGTAAACTTCTTCGAATTCTTGCTTTGGTTCGGAACTCGGTGATCTTAATTGAATCAATGTATCCCTCCATATTGCTGGACTACTGACATTGGCCAAGCTATTTCCGATCAACCTGATCATGTATGGCATACCACCACACTCGTTGACAATTAGTCTTGCAACTGGCTTGATGTCTCTATTATCCTTCAAATTTCGACCTACTGTTTCCCAAAACAACTTTTGAGCATCCTCATCAGACAATCTTTGCACATTGATGTCTTCATCTGTCTGTCCACAAATGTTTCTACACCTACATGCAAAGACCACTTTTCCCTGTCTATGATCATCATGAATGCCAATATCTCTCAAATTAATCTCAGAAGAAACTTCATCAAGGAACAATACATAGCTCTTGCTCTTCAGCTCTTCAGATATTATGTCTGCTCTTTGTTCGTTGTGGTACTCTTGCGCTTTTAGATCTAACCGCTTCAAAAGCACTTCTTGTATATCTCTTATGTTTCTATCTGTTACATTCACCCAAAAGATAATGTCAAACTGACGAGATTCACCAACTGCATCATGCAGATTTTCCATTATTGTAGTTTTCCCAACTCCTGGTGGTCCCCATATGCAAATTCTCTTTAATCCATCATTTCTTAGACACTGTTGTAGCATTTCAACATGCTTGTTGAGTGATGGAACCTCTTCAATTTTCTTGGCATGCTTTTTTATAACTGGAGATGGTGCCTTCTCAACCATTATGGTAATTCGGCTAATCTGATTCTTCAGAGAATGAACCTCTGATGTCTTGTTCACAATTTGCTTTCCAAGCTTTAGCAGACTAGGAAGCGGGCACAGGCCACACAAGAATCTGCTGGCATTTTGGTATTCAGTCTTCAATTCTTTTATCTCAACTTTAATCTTCTCCACCTCGTTCAGCCATGTTTCACATCTCCGAGTCTTCTCCATTTTTAATTTATTCCTATCCAGTTTTATTTTCACATCTTCCTCTTCGTCACATAGATATTTTTCTTCCCTTTCAAGCTCAGCAAAGTTCTTGCTCATATTTTTTACATAAACATATTTGCGCTTCAAGCAACTGAATATGCCTTTGCCACCATCCACTGCTGGTCCAACCAATGAACCAGCAGCTTGCCCAACTGCTTGAGCACCAACCACCTCCATCCTGCAACAATTATCCAATAAATAAATAAGTAAAAACAAGCTTTTCCTCATCAAAAACAGAATGAAAGCACACAAATTGGTAGAAAACCATGATATATTAATACCAATTTTTCAATCAAAACTACCGTCATATTCTCTCATTCTTTTTTCTATGTCTCATTTCACATAATAATCTCTCAATGCCACGGATAAAATTACATGCTCATAAATTGTGTTGAATACCAGAAGTTCTATGTATCTACAGTAAGAATCAAGTGATGCAGAACATTAAGTCTATTTCATCCACCAAAACAAATTCAGAAACCAGTAAGTCATTCCCCTTTCTAATGTACTTTATGGCATAAATAAATGAATAATTTTTCTGCTATGGCTATTTCTGCAAATGAAACTAATTGTCTGATTGGTTAAAAGAAATTAAAATCAATAACCATCTGGGTCCACTAAGCTATACTGGTAAATTACGAAGGAATTGGTAATTAAATGAGACTGTATATTACAAAAAGAAAAGGGAAAAATTAGCCTTAAACAGAGCAGAAAAGGGAAGAGCCGACAATCACTTGCTTTAGCGAAGTAACCCATGCTCATGATCAGAGAATAATCAAAATCATCTGCTTTTTTGAAAAGCACTTTCCAGACGATCATAGTTATCATTTTCATAACTCAACTTAAAAAAGTAATGCAAGTTTAGAGCAGAATCCCACCTGCAAAATCACTTTGCTTCTTTATCTCTCTCCTCCTTCTAAGATTCTCTGGTGCAGCTCAAAAATGGATGAAGCTTTAGCTACTTCCACTGCAATTTGACTTCATTTTTGCTCAAACAAAAAGTCTACACTGGGAAATGACTAAGCAGCCTCATGGGGGACCATACCCTATGACATTTTTTTTTTTTTTTTTTACTGAATTTATTACTTATAAAATGATTAGTTAATTTTAAATTAAATATGTAAATGATAAAATTTTAACTTAAATTATTGATGCGAATTTTCTTATCACTTTTTTGTATAGTAAGTTAAATAGAAGATTTTAGTAAATTAAACAAATGATTATATGTTTATAATTGGATCATATGAAATTTTTTTTAGTTATATAAGTATTGAATTTTCTCAAGTTTTTGTTGCAATTTTTTAAACAACCAATTAGGGGATTAAATAGATGGAAATTCTTAAATTTAGATAAGTATATTGGTCGTTATATTTAAAAAAATATATATATGAAAAAAGATTTGAGAGACCAATATCAACATACAAATGTTTAACCAAATTTAAACTATAACATAACATTTAAGTTAAAATTTGTCATTCAAAAGAAAAATAAAATAAAATGATAAAGATATAAAGAACAAAACTCTTAACAATCAAATCGTAGAATTTAGAGACTAATCAATATAATAATACCACATTGATAAACATCTCTTCCTACTGAATAAAGTTCATATGTCAAATCACATAATTTTTTTGTAAGTAAAACTATAATATAAAGGTATATTTCTCATTTATGTATACAAAATCAACTTTTAAAATGATCTGATTTTAAAAAAACATGAATGATTCGTAAGACAGCTTCAAACTTAATCAATTTTAGAAGTTGTTTATCTAGTATTTTTATTACTTAGTTTAAAACTTAATTAATTATTTCTTAACACGCAACAATTTCAAATACACTCTTTATCTACCATTAATTTTCTGTTGAAATATTAATACAACCATTAATTTTTAAAACATTTATTTTAGAGAAAATAGAATGAGAGCAGCATATTGACGATTAAACCTTAAAAGTTTTCTGAAAATTTTAATGGGCGTGTATTACGAACATGGATTCTATTAGTGGTGGACAAAAAGAATCACTCTTTATGAAACTTTTTACTCATTTAGCAACTTTTTTTTTTTTTTTTTTAATACGGAATTCATTACTTATAAAATGATTAGTTAATTTTATATTAAATATATAAATGATAAAATTTTAACTTAAATTATTGATACAAATTTTCTTATCACTTTTTTGTACAGTAAGTTAAATCGAAGATTTTAGTAAACTAAATAAATGATTATATGTTTATAATTGGATTACAAAATTTTTAGTTATATAAGTATTCAATTTTCTCAAGTTTTTATTGGAATTTTTTAAACACCCAATTATGGGATTAAATATATCAAAATTCTTAAATTCAGATATACATATTAGTCGTTAAATTTAATATATATGAAAAAAGATCTTAGAGACCAATATCAACATACAAATTTAAACTTTAACATAACATTTAAGTTAAAATCTGTCACTCAGAAGAAAAATAAAATGGTAAAGATATAAAGAAGAAAACTCCTTTTAACAATCAAACATAGAATTTAGAGTAATGATGAACAGTTGGATGCTTGTGGCAAATTAAATAGTTTTCATTTTTTCAATTGATATTCTATTTTAACAAGAAATTCTAATTAAGTATAATCTGGTTTGTTATGTTACAAACTCTTGTTTAGAATAGTTTGTTGTTAATTCAAAGAACCTTTCAGTTCAAGGGAATTAATTAATGGACATCTAAATTACAGCAATCAATTTACAACTCAGTTCGAGAGTTAGAAAATTGCGTATTTAAATGAAAATGAAAAATTCCTAAAACTTACCTTGACCTTTAGCTAATTTTGTTTGTTGACACATTGTTTACAATGATCACATTATAAACCTCAACACTAAAATCGAATTAATTTTTTTTTTTTTTTTGTGAAAATACCATTAAATTATTTTAATGGTGTGTGTGTGTTGAGGATTTCTAATATGATGATTTCTAGTAGGGATGTTCGGTTCCGGGTGCCCTGCATTTTTTGAAGGAACCGAAACCTGTAACACTGGTTTCAGTTTGATTCTGGGTACCCTATAAAATTACAAAACCCCTCAAAAATTTTTAAAATGGAAAAAAAAAAAACCTTTAAAAACCTACAAATACCCCCCACCTAACACTTGTTAACAAAAATAAAATTACAAATTATAAATTACAAATTCCGTAACTTTGTAAATGTAGATTCTCAAAAGTCAAACCAACTTACTTTAAATGTTATGAAATATAAATATAAATGTATTCATATTACTTTTTCTACAAAAGTTTTTATTAACTCCTTACACTTTAATTTTATTTTATATTAGTCTCGATTCTCGGTTCTGGTTCCAGTTCCTAACTATAGTAACCGAAACTAAAACTGGATAGTAATGGTTCTAAAAATTTGGAACTGGAACCTACCCATTAACGACTGGTTTCGGATAGGAGCCAGAACTAAACCGCCAATATCTGTTGGTTTCGGTTTCAATCGGTTCTTTTGAACACCCTTAATTTCTAGCATAGTATCCAAAATTTTGAATATTACAACAAATCAAGGTTACTTTTTAAAATCCTATTAAGAACAAGAATTTATATGTTTTTAAACTTAAATTGAGATACATATTACCTGTTTGGGGCTTAATATTATAACCCATGTCCAGCTGTTCGGATAATATACACGGTCCAAAGGGCCTAAAGATAATAGCCCAGAGGTTTAAAAAACCTGTGCAACCTTGCCGAAGAAATAAGGACATCACTTATGGGCTAGAAAATGGGGCCAATCAGGCTTATACATCCTGCTTGAGCCCAGGTAACTGGACCACAATATGTTGGCTGGCACCAGCACAGCACAAATCCCAGAAAGGGATGCTGTATAAATAGTTTTCTTTTCAGCTATCTTATGCTATTATGTGTTATATTTATACAATGATTTACCGTAAAGTTGTAGGATGAATATTAAATTAGATCACTGTGTTGATTTTTGTAAATAGACTGTATTTGTAATTTCTGTAAACAGATGGGAGTATATTTGTCATTTTCATAGGGTTTATTATGAGAAAAACTAGGATCAGGACCAAGCCCTAGGCCTGGTCGGGACTGGTCCTAGGGCCTCGGATAATTTTATTTTCCCCCCTCAATTTTTTTTATATTGTGGGGGCAAAATAAAATTTTATAAGGGATTTTTAGTATTTTTTAGGGGTAAAATTTATAAATTTTATAAATTTTTTAGACTTGGAATATTTTTTTTTTTTTTTTATAAATTTTGTAAAATTTCATTTTAGCCTTCGTAATTTATATTTATTTTAAAATTAACAAGGGGTTTTATGTAATTTGGTAGGGACTACATTGAAAAAATGCAAAATTTTTTGGGCCCGGGCCTGGGACCGGCGGAGGGTCCGGGTCCTCCCCCTTAGGCCTGATCCCGTTTTGGGACCAGGCCTCCTAGGTCCAGTCCTCTCAAGGACCGGGTTTTAGAGTTGGGCTTTTGGGCCCCGTCCCAAATGCCCAGCTCTAGGGTTTATTTGACATTTTTGTAACTAATAAGGGTGTATTTAATTTTCCTTGGTACCGGAACCAGAACTAAAACTCAGGTTCCGGTTCTAGCCATTAAGGAATTAGAATCGGTTGGTTTTGATTCCATGGGATTTGGGTGGATACTCGGATCCGTTCACCCTCACATTCTGTTAAGAAAAATCTGTTAAAATAAGAAATAACATCTCCCGGGCACCCCCCCACCCCCCGATAGAAATTACAGATCAACCACTATTCTAATAAGGTGGTTGTGCTACTAAGTCCTTGTCATACCAGTGGAGGCCTCTAAGGCCTCGCGTTAATCGCCAAGGCCACTAGAGGCCTCGTTATAGCCGCTCAATGGGGAGAAAGGCCTCAAGGAAGCTGCTTAAGGTGACGGTAGGCCTCACGACAACTGCTTAACGTGGCGAAAAGCCTATCGACAATCGCTTGAGGTCGTAGAAAGCCTCGTTACTGCCACCAAAGCCTTGAAGGCTTCTCGGAGGTGTCAATTCAAGCCTTTCAGTAGCCACTTGCGGCTGAATCCAAGCTATACTTGGCCTCCACGAATGCCAAGAGGCCAAATTTAGCCTCATGGTACCGTAAAGGCTAGATCTGGCCTCAACACCATTAGAGGCTATATTCGACCTCTCGATGCTAGTAGATGTCAAATCTAGAATCTAGATAGCCAATGGAGGCCGGATCTAGCCTCGAGACACGCCATTGAGGGCATTTACGGTGATAAAAAGGGATGAAGAACAGGGGGAAAAGAGAAGAAAAGGGAGTAGGGAAAAGGGTGAAAATTGATCTAGGTTTAGCTAAATGTCAAAATTACCCTTCTATAAAATTGAAATATCAAGTTTACCTATTCTTCATTTTACTTCAACGAGAAATATTAACAGAATCGGGGTTAGGGTCGTATTTCCCATATCTATGAGGGTTTGTTGTTATTTGGCGATCAACATGGGGTTTTTCAGAATTATCCGTTTTATTTTATTTATTTAAAATCTAAGCAATAATTTACAAATCAGTTTTGAAAATAACCTGATTTTGAAAAACTACAAAAGATAATTTTTGGAATCCTTCTATAAATTTGATTGTTTATAATCAGTATTAAAAGTTGTTAAACATTTTTATTGTTTAGTTTAAACCTTAATTAATTATTTCTTAAACAACAGTAATCCCAAACACACTCCCACGACCCCTTCTCTAATTCCAAATTGCATTTGGTTGGGATCGCCAAGATCCAACCTAGTGGTCTATTCATATTGCAGCATTCTATAGCTTTAAGTAAACGGCCATATTAAATAGAAGTATTGATACAACGATTAATTTGTAAAACCTTTAAAATAACCATACATTTACTTTAGTGACGATTAAACCTTACAATTTGTTCTGAAAATTTTGGTAGGTGTGTATTTAGAACGGGCAAAGGGAATCAATCTTTATAAAACTTTTGACTCATTTAACGATTACCTAATGGAAAATGTTACACTCACAACCTCTTTTTATAAACTTTCTTTCACAATCCGAAGTGATAGCTCGCAATGAGTTATACTTAATAAATCGTGATTGACCAATTGCGAACTACCACATTGAGATTATAAGAGAAAGTTTGTGAGAAGAAATTGTGGGTGATAGTATTACTCTTAAATCATTGACTATTATTTTTCATAAATATATCACCGCAAAAGATTTCATGGCACATGGATATAAGAAATGGAATATTATAATAATTTAACAGAATCGGGGTTAGGGTCGTAATTTATCGTTGCATTTTGATAATTTGATGAGTAATGAAGATAATTTTTTAAGAGTTCTTAATTGAAAAAAGAAAAATTTCAATGCATCAATTGGTTGTATTTATTATTTCTTTGCTACATAAGAAACTAAGATTCCTTATTAAAATAAGGTATAAAAGTTGTCAACATAAAATTACAAAAAGGACAAATGTAATAAAACCTTCAACACTAAGAAATCAAAATTCAATATCCACGCTCCATACAAAACCTTGGTTTACATTGGGTCAACTTTGATTAACCATGCATCTCCTATTCCCAAATCTTCAACAATAAGAAATCAAAATTCAATACAAATGTAATAAAATAAAAAATGTGTTTCTTGGTTTACAATGGGTCAACTTTGATTAACCATGTCCTCTTTACAAATGCAATGAACTAAAAATTTTATGTAAGCTTAATTTTGCATGAAAGAATCCAAACCAGCGTTTGTCAAAAGCATACTACGTAAACTCAATGGCCGCAGCTCTTAGATCACTTTACGTTTGTGTAGTTTTCAGTGCCTCCTTGATGTCTTTGGCCTTGGCTCAAGGAGGAAACTACTTCATCTTCCATGGCTTCTCTGATTCCAATTTACATTTGGATGGCATCGCCAAGATCCAACCTAATGGTCTATAAGTCTATTGCAGCTGACTGATTCATATTCCGTCCGTTTTAAAACGGCTCATGCTTTCTACCCTTTTCCATTCAGATTCAATACATCTTCCTCTCAATCTCTTTTGTTTTCAACAAATTTTGTATTTTCAATGGATGGCTTAGGCCATGGTATGGCTTTTGTCATCTCACCGTCCATGGACTTCAGTAAAGCTGTTGCAGGTGCACATTTAGGACTCCTCAACTATTCAAACAATGGCCTCTCAACAAACTATATCTTGGCGGTTGATCTCGATTCCGTTCAAACCCCTGAATTTTATGATATAGAAGAAAACCATGTTGGAATTGACATCAACAGCCTCATATCTACTCAATCTGCTCCAGCAACTTACTTTTCCGATGAAGAAGGGATTAACAAAAGCTTGAGTCTACAAGATAGAGATCTAATACAAATTTGGATAGACTACAGTGCAGCAGAAATGTTACTCAATGTAACACTAGCTCCCATCAAAATCCCAAAACCAAGCAAGCCTCTCTTGTCAAAACCCCTCGATCTTTCTCAAATTCTCTTAGATTCTATGTATGTTGGCTTATCTGCATCAACTGATCTACTTGGAATTTCATCCTATATTCTTGGATAGAGCTTCAACAGGACTGGACAAGCTCAAAACCTTGATATTTCCAAGCTTCCTCCAGTTCCTGGACGTCCTGTCGAGAGCGGTGCCCTAGTGGGCGTCCTATTACACAGCGTTAAAAATGATGACTGGACGTCGACTATAACCCCTAGCCTTCCAAGCTAACGATGCGGGTTCGATTCCCGCTACCCGCCCCATATGATAATTATATCAATTCATNTATATATATATAGATTTTCCTCTATTTCTTTTTTCAGATGATGATAATACTTACAACACCCTTGTGAGTTGTGACAATAATTGCGGTTGTATTTGTTGAAACTATGGATAATAGTGCTGTTTGTCATGGTAAACAAGCGGAAGAAACTGTAAATTGTGTAAAATTTGAGATCTCACTTTATCATATATATCTGTGCATAGTTATTCTTTGTAGATTTGCTTGTTATCAATTGAATGGAGCAGCAAAGGAATGCATAGATAATGGGTAGTAAAAACTTAGAAAACCAATTACTAAGTCTAGATTAACCTGTTGTAGTCACTTGACCACTTTATAAAAGTTGCTGTGGAATCATGTCTCTGTTTATATTTGCTGGGCATATCTGCAATTCTGCGTCTTCACCATTGCTTGTAACTTGTTAGAGTCATTGCTGCTTACCTAACTTGGAGATTTCTGAATAATGAATAGCTTATGGGTTTTTTAATGTTTGCTTTGCAATCTTTGGCAATGGTTTCTGAATAAACCAAGTATGCTATACGTTGAGTAGAACAGGGCGCCGGCTACGTATGAGAAAATTACTTTGATTTGAAGATACCTGCAAGAAAATTTATGTGTTGAGTATCATTCCCTGCCTGTTTTTGTCCCTGTGTTTCATCGAGAGGTCGTTTAAAACTTTAAATCTATCTTCTCTTTCAAATTACTTAAAAGCTCTAGCTGTCTAGCATGTAATTATAAATCATAGCAGCCTTTTCCATGCGGTTCAGCGCCTTATGACATATTTTGACAAAATCAATAAGTTATGAATTGACATATTTGTACCCTATATATATATATATATATATCACATGAGTAAAATCAACAGGTAATATTATATTTACAATTTAATTTCATAATCCGAATGTGATATTTTATTTGATCAATTCTGAGTTATCACACAAGAGTTGTAAAAGAGAGTTTTGTTATATTCACACTTAATGGTATATTCAAACTTATTTTTATTTTATTGGAAGAGATTTTAACTTAAAATTATGACTTAATTGAGATACAAATTTTCAGTCATGGTTTCAATACAATCCAACAATATAGGAATTGTGAAGTGACAATTAAAATAACTATTTTCAAACTCTTTTTCACGTCTATTGTATTACACTATTACAAAATATTCCTAGTCACAGTTTAAATTAAAAAATCTTATCCGTTATTTTATATATTTAATATTTTGTTAGTCTCGTGTTTAAATGAATCTTTATAGAGATTGTACTGGTTAAAAAATAAAATAATATATTTGAATCGCACTAACATAGACTGCTTTCGCCAACCAGGGTTTAATTGTATATGAAAATCATGTGTAAATAATTAAAAATATAAAAATATATTTACAAATTCTATAAAAAAGATTTTCAAAATCAATTTGATGTTAAATGTAATATTAATTTTTATTTCAATTATTTATATAATTAAACCTTTTATTTTTTAGTTCAATATTTACCACATAATGGACAATCTTATGATAATATAATATAACTATTCTCATATTCAATTTATGAAAGGTAGGAACACTATTTTTTGTTCTCTCTTACTCACTTTTTCATTCGCTATTTAACTCGTGCACAAAAAATAAAAGAGAGATAATAAATGATCACATTCTTTTCTAATTTTTTTTGTCTTTTTATATATATGTTCAACGGTGAGTGAAAGAGAGTGTAATCCCAATAAATCAATTCAATTCTATATAACGTATCGGAAACATGGTATAATTTGGTGATCTTTGGTATGCTTCTTAGGAAATTCTGATATTAAAGTGACTATATTTTTTTCTTCTCTTATTAACATTTCATTCAAATGGTCCTCAACAAATTGATTTATTTAATTTATTATATTATTTACTGTTTATTTAGTTCATTTACTTTTTCCTAAAAAACACAAATTTATTTAACTAGATCTTAAAGATAAAAGAGGTATTTCTCTCAATTTACATAAATTTTTTAACTTGTCCTTAATTATCTCCCTAAAGGTGGTGGAACTGTTGAGTGAATATAACGATGAAAAAAGCGGTGAGGGTTTCACAGCTATGAAGCTCTACAATTAGGCAAGCTTCGCCGAATCCTGAAGTTGGGGAAATTCTAGGTCGTGCTAAAGCTTAAAGAGAATGTAAATGTAAACTTTATCATTCTCGTAATCCATTTAAATCGAATTTCAAAAGGAATTATTTTGATTCAACCATCTTCTTTTCGACTTGTCTACTTGAATTGGATATTTTGAATCCTGCCAATCACATAATATCCACAGTTTTTTTTATTTATTTATTTATTTTTTTTTTGTGCGATTCAAGACTTGTAACCGATTCCATAAATCTAGGGAGTTACCAAAAAATTCGATTTATCTTATTATTAATAAAAAATTTTGTATATAGCTAGAACAACCCTAACAAATTGTGAATACTAATTTGTTAAGAATTAATCGAATTGAAGTTATAGCATCATCATTTGCGATTAAACATATTGTTGGAATTCCCAAAGTAAGACATTCGTGAAGAGCCGTATATTCTTCTTGCTAATCAACGATAATTACAATATCTGGTACCCCGTCATATATTTAATCCCGCCTAGATACGTTTGAAAGCGTGATAATTGTCTCTTCAACATAGCTACATCTCTTTTGGGAAGACGATTGAGTCTTCCCGTCTTTTGTTCCATTCTCAAATCCCTAAACTTTTGAAGTCTCGTTTCTATAGTGGACCAATTCGTTAACAGACCATCGAGCCATTTTTTATTAACATAATGACACCGAGCTCGTATTGCAGCTCGTGCTACTGAATCAACAGCTTTATTTTTTTTACCAACAATTAAAGAATAGTTTTCCCCTACTTGCTGCATCAAAAACTAAATCACAAGCTTCTGATAAAAAACGAGCAGTTTAAGTCATATTTGTAATATGAATACCTTTATGCTTTGCAGAGATATAAGGCGCTATTCTAGGATTCCATTTCCAAAATGAATTCCTGCTTCCATCATTTCTTCTTTTTTCTTAAAATCCAAAGAATTCTTCTTACTATAATATATAGGTCATCGATTCGACATAAAAAGGGATTGATTGAAACACCCATTTTCCCAATATATTCCAATAAAAAATAAAATGCTCAAATCATTTTATCGACACGAGTGTTTTATATCAAAAAAAATTCTAATTATTCATTTTGAAAACATTTCTATTCGATATTAACATAGAAGTAGAAGGAGTATCATCCTACGTCTGTACTTCAAACGGTTTTGCTTTAACCATGCTCATGTTAATGATCCTGCATTATTGGTTTGTTTGATAGAGAATCAAAGTAGATTTACCAATGAATCACAAAACGCTATAGTTCTTAAATATGATTTTCAATTTATTCAGAAGTAATTCGCAGAATCGTGCACCTTTTTCAGTCCTAGTTAGAACAAAAAAAAAAGTGCAGTTGGTTGGATCCAGCCTATTCTTGAAATAAACAACTCACACACACTCCCTTTCCAAAAAAGATCATTAATAAACCAAGCACTACACTTAGATTTATTGGATTTGTTGCTAAAATATCGTTATTAAACCCGAAACTCCCGATGAACGGCCAGTGAAACGAGGAAACGAAAGACTCGGTTCCATTTTTCACATGATCTCCTCTTTTAGATAGACTTAAAAAAAAAAAAAAAAAAAACAGAGTTCTTTTTTTTGTATCACTTCACCCTTTTTTTCGATTTCTTCTATCTATTTATATTTATTTATTTATTATTATTTAATATTCAATTTCAATTTTTTTTGTTTTTTTAGTAATTTATCTATTGCAAAAAAAAGTCAAAAATTCAATATATAAATTTAAAAAGCAAGGAGCACAGGTCTCTAAATACAACAAAAAAATACGTAATTTTCCTATTTATAGGATTAAACAAAGGGATTCGCAAATAAAAGCGCTAATGCTACGACCAGTCCATAAATTGTTAAAGCTTCCATAAAAGCCAAACTAAGCAATAAAGTACCTTGTATTTTTCCCTCCGCCTTGGGTTGTCTTGTGATACCTTCTACAGCTTGGCCTGTTGTAGTACCTTGACCGACCCCGAGTCCAATAGAAACAAGCCCGACAGCCAACCCAACAGCAATAACAGAAGCGACAGAAATCAGTGGATTCATGATAAGTTCCTCGCACTAAAATAAAGAAATAGTTAATGATACAATCGTCCAATGAATTTTGATTTTTTGTTCTCCCATTTCTTTTTTCCGAACCTTTTTTTGAACTCTTCGTTCCTTAGTTGCCTTTATTTTATCCTTTTATTCAGTCAATTGATAGTCAAAGACAAAACAAAAGAATTTCTATTGGAATGCTTATCTAAATTAACAATAGTAGGACAGATTAGATATATCTTTAGTTCATATCTAACTAACAATATCTAATATCCCATATACATGTGTTTCTTCCATAACATAAACCAAATATTCAAATCTTAGATTCAAACTATTCGAATCTTAAAGCCAATCGCATTTTAGAATTATTCTTCAAAACCTCCACAAGAGTTGGCTTAGAGCCATTCGATTCCATATACCTAACTTAATGAAAAAATAACACTTGTCGACTGCTTAAAATAGGGATTTACCATTTCCCTATAAAATTATGAAACTCATGGGGCTTGGTAACGAAATCATAAAAAAACTTCCTCTTGAACTCCGGAATGTTCTACTTGTGGTGGCTATATTGATTACCACGGCCACCTACCAAGCTGCACTCGGCCCCGCCGCCCTCGGTGGATTTTGTCAAGATGATAGCACTAAGATCAGTAACACCAGAGACAAAGACAATGTTAGCATTGAACATCTTGCAGGGGATTTAAATTCTTTTTAATGGCACTTAATTTTTGTAACATTTTAGACGGCTGTGTGCACTATTATGATTCTCATAAGCCGGCTCCTCTATTCCAAAATCTTTGGCGTCACCACAGGTATTAGCGTATTTTTGTGCACTGGTTGCAACCTCTCCGTACAAGAATAATATAGTTCATGTTTGTACACTATTTTAGATCATTGTTCTATAATCGTATTTGAATTAAAAAATAGGATATGTATTCATTTATTTATAGTGATCATTATTATGAAAATTAATCCAAATCAAATAACATTTTTTTGTCTAAAAATGGAAAGAGGGGAGAACTTGTTTTCAGATTATTCAACTCTATTCAATTCAAAACATTTTTCTATCAAACCCTATTCAACTCAAAACATTTTTTTTTCTTTCCTTCCAATCTGAAAATTAATCCACCCAATACCACCACCGTCGGCGCCAGCAGAAATGGCTACATCATCTACACCAATCTAGTCGTTTTCGATCAGATTTATTTGGCTATCGGCCGTTAACTAGAGGTGTTCAAAACCGATTAACCGCTTTGGTTAATTGATTTTGTGAACCAAACTGGTTTTTCGATTAAAGAATTTTCCTGAACCAAAACCAAACCAGTTTTAATTTAATATTTTATATATTTTTTAATTTAATTTTTTTATAATAAATTGGATTTTGTAATTTGTAATTTTAATTTAATTTTTTTATAATAAACCAGTTTTGGTTAACCGATTCTCATATTTTTATAAACTGGTAACCGAGCCGAAAAATCGGTTTTTGTATTTTTTTTTGAACCAAAACCGAACTAGTTTTTCGGATAACCGAAAAACTAGTTCGGTTTCTGAATTTTTTTGAACACCCTTACCTTTAACGACGGCCAGACTTTAGCCGTTAATGACAACCAAAGATTTGGCCAGAAACAGCCAGATCCATGGTGGATATGGTAGGAAACGATCATATCAGTGCACGACCAACAAGATCCATCTAGTCATGCACTATTCCAGTGATTGTCCACTGTCGTCCGACGGTGGTGGCGGGAGACCAACTATCTTCTTGCGTGGCTAGGGCGCTTTAGTTAATTTTTATACTTTATTGTGGCGATATTTAGCTAAATTAATAAATGTGGGGAGTTAAAAAATAATAAATAAAATTCAATTGTCTTTCAAGATCAGCTTCATAGTATATCTTAAGCTTTTAACTTTTCTTTCAGATTTCTGGGTAGATGGGATTCCAGTAAGAGTATTTGCATTTAAGGAAGAAAATAGGCTTTATATCTTAACCTTTTAACTTTTCTTTCAGATTTCTGGTAGATGGGATTCCAGTAAGAGTATTAAGTATTTGCATTCAAGGAAGAAAACAGGTGTGGTTCACCCAAAGAGTCAATCCATGTCTGTTGAAAAAGATTCCCACAACTCAAACACAAAATTAAAGCAAACCAAACACAAGAATTTTAAAGTGGTTCGGCCAAACAATTTAGCCTACGTCCACTATCCACTCAAACAATCCACTAAGCAAAAGCTTACAACTGTGTAATTTTTAGAAGAGAAAAATTGCAAACTTCTTACATTATCCCAAAAAGCCCAATTAAACCTCTAATAACAGCCCACAATAACTATTCTTTTGGTGTCTATTTTACACTTTTTGAGATACTTTAAAAACTCAATCTACTAGTCTATCTAAAGGGGAAAGTCCCCTTGCAACTCCATCTCCTAGGCAATATAGGATTCATCAATCCCAACTCTTCTCCCTTGACTTGAATCCCCAAACATCACAATAGCATCTGAAAATCTTACTTGTTTGATAGTCTTCTTTTCTTTCACAACAGGAATTGGAACAACTTTATCCCTTGATTTCTTAAGACAGTCACCTTCATCGAGCAAATATAGTTGTTTTCTCATTTCTTTTGCCTTGCAAAATCAGAACATCATCTTTATACACTTCGCATTCATCTCTTTGACCAATGTAGGTATATCCAAGAGAAGCCAACTCACCCAAAAAAATCAAATTGTGACTACAACTCGGCACATACCTCACATGACAAAGATTCTTGACAACACCATTGTGAAACTTGAGACAAACGCTACCAACGCCTTCAATCTTCACTTTCTCGTTATTGCCGACAACAATATTTTCATAATTTTCATCTTCTTTCAATTCAACAAAACAATCTTTATCATTACAAACATGCATAGATGCAGTAGAATCTAAACCCCAACCTTTTTCAACCTTTGAAGTTTGAGTTTCATCTTGACATGGTACTAAAAATTCACCCTCATTATTAGCAACTCAGGCATCATCCTTTGAATCCTTCATTTGTTGAGCCTTCTTGAAAGCAAGCATATCCTCTCTTAATTTCTTGCAACGTGGTTGGATATGTCCCTTCTCTCCACAATAATAACACTCCTTATTACTATAATCTCTAACTTTTGATTTATCACCTCGCTCTTTAGTCCTCCCCCGATTAGAACCTTCTGCAACTAGTAGATCTCCTCTAAGTGATGAGTTCTCTGATCCCATAAACCTTTCATTCTCACGCAACAAGGTAGTCACCTCATCTAATTTTAAAGTAGATCTGCCACCAACAAAGTTTGAGCTAAAAGTCTATAATATTTAGGCAAAGATGACAACAATATCAATGCCACCTAGATCCCACGAGTGAATAGAAAGTTGGATCTACATTGGATCTCACCTGAATCGCCCCATCTATTCTCCTGAGGAGGAGTTTGGTTTCAAACCCTCGGTTCAAACAAGAGAAGTACGCCATGCTAATGTGCCTTGGATGATCCACATCTCAAGGTCACACACTAATGAGCACATTGAACTATACATGTGGCTGAGAACCCTCACAGCCTAGGCACAACGACACAATTATCAGGGGCACGCTCTACCACTGAGCTAATAGCCCATCGTGCCGGCCTCCCGCTGGGGCCCTACTATGCCAAAAGTGAGAGAAACCCCATCCCTTTCTTTCCTTCATCCTTTAACTCATCAGAAGTAGCTAGCAATTGAGATACTAGCCTATTAAATTCATTGACTCGTACCTTCATCCATCTTCAGAGAATACAGATCCATCTTCAAACACAATTGGTTAGTCATCGATTCGACGCATAAATATTCTCTAATTTTTCCCACAAGCCCTTTGGTGTAGACTCAGTCAGCACGCTGTACTTTATCTCTGGAGCTAAAGTCAATCTGATTGTACTGACAGTTGTCCTCTGAATTCTATTCCATTCTCTATCAAACATCTTCTCTGGCTTACTCTCTTCTAATGCCTGATCAAGACCTTGTTGTACCAAAAGGTCTTGTATCGTAGTTTGTCATAAAATAAAATTAATTTTACCATCAAATAAAGGAACCTCAAACTTAGACATACCTCCATAAAATTTGAGATGCTTGACAGTCGTTGATCTACTCTTAAATCCAACCTCCCCTTGATCTTGCCTTCTCCTTGCTTGCTTCTCCCAGATCACGAATTGTGGGCTCTGATACCACTTGTTGAAAAAGATTCCCACAACTCAAACGCAAAATTAAAGCAAGCAACTAAAAATAAAGCAAACCAAACACAAGAATTTTAAAGTGGTTTGGCCCAATCAATTTAGCGTACGTCCACTATCCACTCAAACAATCTACTAAGCGAAAGCTTCAACTGTGCAATTTTTAGAAGAGAAAAATTGCAAACTCTTTACATTATCCCAAAAATCCCAATTACACCCATAATAACAGTCTACAATGACTATTCTTTTGGTGTCTATTTTACACTTTTTACGATAAATTAAAAACCCAATCTACTAGTCTATTTAAAGGCGAGAGTCCCCCTACAACTCCCTTTCCCAGGCAATATGGGATTCAAGGCACAACCCAACAATGTCAATCTGTGGCTCAGCGTGGAATGCTAATGAATGGGCTACTTAGGGAGGAAGAGTGCAGACAAATCATAAAACGTAAGAAATTTTTCAAAAATAAAAAATAAAAAGTGTGCCCCCTGGTTTGTATGTTGGCTCACCATCGTTCTTAACCGCTTGATAGAAAGCAAAACATATACATACCTTCTTTTGTTTTTTCCAAATCTGCTTTTAAAAATAAAAAATAAGAAAAGAGAGAAAATAAAATACGTAAAATTTTTAAGTTAATTAATAAGATCGAAATTACTCTTTTAGAAAAATAAAAAGAATACTTGAAGCAATTAATTATCAAATGAATGGAAATTTTTTAAACCCTAACTCTATAATTAATTATCTTGGACCTTCTTATAGCTTCAATTTTCAAAACATTGAAACCTTTTATGTTGATCAACGAAACTTTGGTTTTGATTGACGATTCTAGCGGTTTCGGTAACTATCCAATCAAGGGATCCATCATTTTCTTATTTATTTAATCTATTTTCTTCTACTGCTATGTGAATGCCATTCATCCAGAATATGCCCTTTAAATAATGTTATTTCCAATTTCCTCGTCTCTCTTATGTCAAGGCTAAATTGCTTGACATATGGAAGAAATTGGGCCGAAAAGGCCCAAACTAGTAAATTTATTCTAGTTTGACACTGCTACCCAGATGAGAAAGTCCTATTGAGGTTTTTGATTTTGACTATAAGGGGGCATTTGGTTCTGGAAATATTTTATTACTAAATATATAGGATTACCAGTGAAATAGATTACTTGGAAGATTACTGAGAATATTATATTATATCGTTTGGTTAGATTGGTGGGTATAAATAATTAATATGTTTGGTTGGGAGGAATAAAAGAATTATTGGAGAAACTTTTATTGAATTTCCCTTCATTTTAATAATAATAATAATAATAATAATATTATTATTATTATTATTATTATTATTATTATTATTATTACTACAGTTAACCCCCTATATTTGAGAATATAGCTAAAACACTCCGGCCAGAAAAAATTTAAAAGTTAACAAAATAACCTTAGCCACCCAAGACGTTTGCCAGCCACCGGCCACCATCGCTGGCCTCTACCAACAGTTGTCAGACTGCGCACGGCTAGTTGTCCGTCAATCTGGTCGTTTCCAGCCAAATCCAAGTATCTGGCCGTTAAAGGATAGATCCTTGGATCTGGCCGTTTCCGACTAGATCCATGGCCATCTGACTAGAAACGGCTAGATACAACTGGTCGTGCGCCGTTCCAACAACTGTCGGCGATGGTGGCCGACAGTCTTCTTCGGTGGTTGAGTGTTATGTAAATAGTTTTCAGTATAAGGGCATTACTGTCCAAAAATTTTATTACTTAGGGTGCATTTGGATTAGGGGCATAAAAGATAACAAGGCTAATCTTCGTTTATTTTGCAAAATTCCGATGTTTGGTTTGTAAGTAATAAAATATTACGGGAATCTTTTATTACAAATAGTGTTTACTATTGGTAATGAATGGGGTAAGTCGATACCCTCCCCCACCCTTTGGATAAAAACATTAACGGGTAATCTTGATTTTTATACCTATTTTGCCCTTAATTAAATACCATTTTGGACACAATTGCCTGAAATAACCACTACCCAACCTCCCTACATTTGAGAAATTAGCTAAAATGCCCCAGCCACAAAAAAGTTTAAACGTTAAAAAAATACCCCTAGCCACCCAAGATCACCGTCGGCCGTTACTCACCACCACCAACATCGGTTGTTGTAATGGTGCACAACTGGCAGGATCTGCCCAGTGATGTGCCAGAAACGGCCACAAATTTGGCTATGAAACGACCACAAATTTGGCCTTTTCACGTCCAGATCTTTGGCCATGAAATGGCCATAGATCTGGTCGTGAAATGGCCATAGAATTGTGATCCATGGCCGGAAATGGCTTTGTCGGTGCACAGTCGGCCATATACGGCCAGTCATGTGCCATTCCGTCGATTGTTGGTAGCGGCCAACGATGGTGGCTAGCTTTTGACAATGGCTTGGGGTGGGTGAGGGTGATTTTGCTACAAATTAAAGTTTTATATGGCACTACTAAAATTTCAAATGTAAGAGGTTAAAAGAAATGATAATAAAAAATAATATTATATTAATATATAAAAAGGAGGGCAATTTAATAATTTATATAACATACTCAGTCATTTATCCTCCCAACCAAACGTATTATTCACTAATTTATTCGAACTAATCAAACATATTTTCTAAACATTCCTAGTAATCTTCAAGGTAATCTATCTTTTCGTTAATATAACATCTTCTACAATAAAATATTATGCCTGCTTTTGTTTTGTTATTTCACCACTATCCTATCCCTATTTCAAATACAAATGCGTGTTTGCTTCCCTATTTTCAAAATCATATCCTAAATTAATTATTTTTAAACCCCCTAGGTTTGTTAATTGACAAAAACACCCCCAACAAAAAAATTTATAAATTGACAAAAACACCCCTACCCACCCATGGTTGCCAAATTCCGGCAACCAGCGACGGTGGTTGCCGGAATCTGTCACAACGGTGCACAACCGCCTGGAACTGACCGGTAATGCGCCGATTTGGCCTTTTCCGGCCAAATCTAGCCATCAATGACGACCATATCTTTGGTCGTCGTTGACAGCCAGATCTACCTGTAGATCTGGCATTTTCTAACTAGATTCATGGTGGATCTGGCCGAAAAAGGTCATATCAGTACACGACTAGCCAGGTCTAGCCAGTTGTGTGCCGTAATGCCAGATTCCAGCAGTGGTGGTCGGAATTCGACAACTGTGGTGGGTGGGGGTGTTTTTGTCATTTTACAAAAAAATTATATATTGGGGTGTTTAGTTAAATTAGCAAACCTAGGGGTTTTTTTTAGTTAATTTTTAAATTCTACCTCATAATAATCTCTCAACTCTACCTACCAATAATATTTCAAAAATACTACTCAAAATACTAAAACAAACACACCCATATGATCCAAAGGCCTCCTTTGGGGTAAAATTATAACAAAATTAAGATTAATTTTATGTAAAATGAGGGGTATTTCTGTACCAAAAAATAATTTATCAAGGTATAGAAGTAATTTCAATCAGTTGGTCTATTTGTTATTTGGTTTACATATGAGGGCATTTCTATCCGAAAGTTTTAATAATTAAGGATAAAATGGGAACAAAATTAGGATTACCCCGATAATAAAAAAATAACACCCTTTTCAGTTGGTAATTGAATTACCCCTAAGTTTACCTACGGTAACCACTATATTAGTATTTGAAGATTACTGGAATTTTTTTTTTACTTTACAACTAGATATGGTAATTCTCATATTAAAATAGATTGTCGGAGTAATCTTTTATGAACCCGAACCAAACCCACCATAAAGATTTACATAAATTTCTAGACTTATTTATAATAGGGGAATGATTTTTAGTCTCGCTATTTTCTTCCTCCATCTTCTACTTTAGGTGAGGATGTAAGTGTAATAAAAAGCTTTATTCTTCTTCCTCCACTGTTTAATTTCAAAGCTTTTATATTTGCATTACCGAATAGTTAAATGAAATTTAAAACCGTGGATTTACTTTACCCACTTCGGCCCCCAAAAAAACCTGATGGTCTAGTAAACCCAATACTTTCTCAATAAGAAAACAGAGGCAGAGCCCGATTCATGTTTGATGGACAGGGCCAGGCCAGCGTCGACGACTGGACTGAACCTCAAAAAATGGAACACATGATATAAATATGGGGCTATGAAACAGGTGGATCTCCACCGTTTAAATAATAAATACAGCAACATTTGTCATCCAAGTGCAATTTGAGCCATGCAAGACATGTAATATTAAGTCAACATTAATTTGTCTTGTACCTTTCGAAAATTGTTATTGGATAATATGGGCGGCTTCTGCTTATGTTACCATAACATTTCCATTTACACCCACGAATTCAATACCATTAATGCAAGCTTGGTCCATCCTTTCTTTAATTTGTAGAATTCAATTCCTTTTTAATAGTGTACTGCTTCGTGGAAAATGAGGACTAATGTTAAAAGAGGTGGGGAAACATGGTAACTTTCTGAGCTTGATGCAATCCTAATAATGATGTTTTTATCTTGGAAATAATGGAACCTGTAAAAAAATGGATTGTAGCAGAAGAAAATGGCAACATCATCATAAGCTTAAATAAATTCTATATATCCTGGAGAGATAGATGATCATTGCATTTCTTTCCTTAAAGCTTATTGAACTCAGAAAATTGATGAAGTTATTGGCCCCCTATATACTTAAGTTGGTCATTTATGTGCCCCACAGGAATAATCAAAGTTTCACCAGAGAAAATAAGTAATTGGGTTCCCTTAAAACTCAAGTTTCCTTCAGGAAAGTCTTTGTGTTTGGTGACTGCTATGATTATAGCTTATCTCTTCTCTTTTTCCTGACCTGGAATTGTCAATTCTCATCCTAACTCTCTCTCTGATAAAAAATTGAAAGCAATGAAACCCCACAAGAACTTGCTATTTTAACTCAAGTTTTTAAGTTGCAAATTAAAATTCAAAGTTAAATAAAAGTGTTTCGTGAAACATTGAAAGCAAAAGTGCTATTCAAATTTCTGTAGAGGCAAGGCCGATAGAATTATTCTGGAGGGCAATTTCACCCGAAACTATAGGCTTTCCAGTTAGACAGATATTTTCTTTAACCTAATCGGCTGTATTTATTTCGTCCTTTTTAGTATCTGTAGCTGGTCAACGGAATAAATTCAATCTGTTTGGTAAGTATATAAAGTGAATCCAATACAAATTTATCGTGCATGTCTTTGTCAATTGTCACTTTCACTAGGGGCCAAAAGCACCGAAAAAAAAATCTGCTGCAGGCTAATGTTGACCGTTGATTTAGAATCTTACTTGAACATGATTATCTGTAAACCACCCACCTGGTAAAATTATAACCAAAAAATAAATATGCTGGAAAAACTAACTTATACTTGGTCAAAGTAAATATATTTTTAATTATGCAGAATCGGTAAACTCAACTATGAACTACCCACAACTTTTTAGCAGAAACTCCACCTGACTCTCATAGCAGGCTGATAGCAATGACTGTGAACCTTCTTTGAACATGTTTAAGAAGAGAAGTAATGAGAAAAATGAAATAATTAATTAGATAAAAAGTTTGTAATTAAGCTCAGATTAACCGCAAAACATGTAGATATACAGAGACCCTTCATGCTCAATTCTCTGCTCTCTCTTTTTCTTAGCTTAAACAACATTACATATATAAACAAAAAAGAAAAAAGAAAACACAAATATCTTAGAAATAAATAAACCCAGAAACCAAATTATTATAAGCTCATGAAAATGGAAAATAAATAAATCAACGATCAGCAACATCTATACTAGCACCACAAGACAACAACCTGTGGAAAAGCCTAAACAATGCATTGCATGAAAATTTCCTCAAACACTTAATCCTTTTACGACGTCGTTCCTTGTCCTTTCTCTTCCTCATCCTCCCGTTCTTGTTATAATTATTATTATTATTATCACCCACCTTTTCTTTTTTCTCTTTGTCTTTCTCCTTCACTCTACCAAAACACATGGCGGTCTTCTCATTCTCGGCATCCTTATCGTCATCTCGCGAGAATTTGTAGCTTCTCAGGTACATCTGCCTGCACGAGATGCTGTCCACAACCCTAGGGTGGCCATGCACATGAACCCCACGGCGCACGTTAGACCTCGACGTAACTGATCTGACGAACTCGGCGTCAGACTCCGGCCACTTGTAGAGGTTGACGTAGGTGGCGCGAACAGGAACACGTGGGTCACGTGCGTCGTTTACACAGTTGGATATGCAAACTGAGGTCATATTATGAAATTTGTTCGAGAAGTGGGGTTTTCCGGGAGATGATAAGAGATTTGAAATGGGAATTGGGGTTTTTAAAATGAAACGAAGGCTTAGATTGCAAGAAAAGATACGTGGAAACAGACAGAGATAGGCGTTTCTTTTTGTTAGTGGGTGTATGATTCAGAATAATTAGCCATCACTGTGTTTTTTACAGGGGGTGCGATGTGCTGTGTTTGGCTAGATTTTAGATGAGTAGATAATCTAAATGAAAACCTACTTCTTTTGACGAAAATGCCCTTGAAAATCTTTGAATTCGTAGGGTAAATATGTCATTTGATTATGGCTGAATTCTGTATGAACTATGAAATGTATTTGGATTTTGGATGGCTTTCATATATTATTATAGATTTTTTTTTTTTTTTCAAATAAATTAAAGCTTTTCTCTGTGAAAGTATATATAACATCATTATTTTGGAGGATTTCTCATCATTATATAATATCATGTCAGTATTTTTTTTTTCAACTTATTTGTTATTTATAATTTCAATATATGTATACATATAAATTAAAATAAATTTGATGGATGAATATGTTTGTGGTAGCGCTTTTATAATTACCTCAAAGTAATTTGAAAAAATATCTTGTTTATTTTAGCTAAATATAAGAAAATATATTTAAGAATATATATATAATTTGGAAGTACGTAATTGATTTTGAGAATATTATAATTTGGAATATATAACACTAGGCTAGGGTAGCCAAGAAAATTAAAAGTGTTATTGAAATTGAAAACTATTATAGATGATTGAATGGTTTTATAAGGATTTTTAAATGTATTACTCAGGAGGTCTTAAATTCGAGTCTCTCTTCGATTGTTAATAAGGGTAACCATTAAAGATCTTACTCGATCGGTAGTTTCAAGATCACGAAAGATTAGTTAAGGTGCAGTATAAACTGATCCAAACAACACCTTGGTCATTAAAAATAAATAAATAAAAAGATTTGAAGTACGAATTTAGAGAAACATTTAAAATAGTTGTTGAACCTTCGGGGGTCCTTATATTTATCATAACCTTTCTTTTGGCAAGTTCCAGTTATTGTGTATTGCGTGGGGATTTAATGATGAATCCAACCAATAACATTGCCACGAGTTGGATTCCAAAATTATTAAAATTGAATAAGTTGTGGAAATATAATTTTATAAGTTAGTTAGGTATGTTATAATTAATTAATATTGGATTATTACTTAGCATATCAGAGAAAGGCGACTTTTACAGCACTTTTATATAAATATAAAAATCATATTAGACTAACTTGTTGCTTATAATTGAACCAACTATGATTTCCTTATTAATTAATTTCAAACTATCATTATCTTAGTTAATATACAACCCCATCACTATATTATTGGGTCCCCTGAATTATCACTAGATAAGTAATCTTATGGGTCCTAAAACTCCTTTATTTTCCCCAAAAGAAATCCTTTTACTATGAAATTTGACAATATAACATCAAGTTATCAAAAGAGGCAGCTAGTTATTTTCCCGATTATAAAAATTAAATTAAAAATCAACTAATCACAATTTAGTATAAACACTACACATCCTAAATAAGATTTGAAACTAGTATTGGTAAGTCATGTAACAAATGTTATGTAGCATATAACTCGTTTAGTAGAGGCAAATAACATGCTAATTTGACCACCATTATGTGGTCGAGCCGTCAATTAGGACTTTTGAGTGTATTAGTTAAGAGGTTTTGAGTCTGATCCACCTCGACTGTTAATAGGGGTGGCTACTAGAAGTTTATCTGGTTGTTAATTTCAGCGTTCAAGGGATTAATTGAGGTGAGTACAATCAGACCCGGACACCCCCAATCATCAAAAAATAAAAAAATTGCCAACTTAAAACAATTTCCATTGAATTTGTCATTTGAATTATTTATTTTTTTTTCGTTCATTTGTAACAATTAAAATAATTGAATACCTAATCCCCTCATACATACAGATAATCAGATATTATGAAAAATTAAAATTAATTAAAGAGATGATGCAATAATCACATAACAATCTCAATATTTTGAACTTTATTTAAGGGAAGTGATTTTTAGCCCCCACCTAATTTTTCTCTACGCCCTACTTTTAAATTTATTTTTCGTTTTGACAAATTTAACCTTAATTTAGATCACTATAAATAACATTGTAATTTCTAAATACATTGATGTTCTATTTTATATTTTTGTTTTAATTTTTAACATTTAATCTTACATAAACCCTAACCTAAATTTTCATAACTTAATCTTAAATTTTCATAATCATTGAAACCTTTTGTTTTATTTTAAATATTTGTATCTTTAATGAAAATATAATACTAAAACTATGGAAAACATATCAGGATGAATTTGAATTTGAATAAGAGAAAATAATAAGTTGAAATTAGAAAACTAGTGGGAAAAATGTGTTAAAAAAAAAAAAAAAAAAAACCCTAATTAAATTTGAAATTAGAAAAAATAAACCTAATTAAACATATTTTCGGTATTAAACAGGGTTTAGATAGATTTTTTTTAATTATAAAATAAATATACTTAACCAGCGGGATGAAGATCAATTAGACGAGGCTAAATCACTTCCCTTTATTCAAACCATTACATAGGTTTTGTGACTTTTGTCTAGTCCTTTATCAAATCAGAATCAGTGGTGTATTATAGGCTTCCAGCCCAAAAAGGAGCTCTTCTATGTGTATATGGATCTATTAATTCCAGTGTTGTTGAAGCCCAAAAGGGATAGCAACACCATACCCAAAAGAACGATTTTATTGGTCTTTCAGATAAACTAAATAAATATCACTTTTTAATATTTTTCATAATTATAAAATTTAACACTAAATTGAATAATAAAATTTCCCTTTAATATTTTTTTTATAAAGAATTTTGACACCCCACTAAAATATAAATAAACTATAACTCCTTATATTCCAACTTTGTTCATCAATTCACAGAGATCTTATTTTCTATATCGAGATTGAAGATTATAAAAGGTTCTTCTTTTAAAAAAAAAAAAAAAAAAAAAATTGAATGAAGAGCATTACGAAAATTTTGTCTTCATTCAATCTTTGTTTTGGGTGTTGTAAACAAAATTAAAATTTTAAATAAAAATATTTTATGAAGTGGGATTTTTTTAGTTTGATCAGGGAAACGCAAATAAAACCACTCTACTAAAAAATATGCAGTGTGAACCCCAATTGGCTGCTCTTCTTATTGATTTTTTTTGTTTGAATCTTGGAGTCATTTACCATAAATTTATCTGAAACCTTAGATTTTTAAGGTGTTCAATGAGTTTTGAAGATTAATTGAGACGTACGTAAACTAGTTCACGCACTCCGTGATAAAAAAAAATAATAATAATATAGTGTGGAGTGGAATGTGATGTCCATTATAATCATCAATTCATCACCCGTGTCGGGATTATATGGAGAAGCACTTTAAGGAGCATAAAAATCATTTGCTATTAAATGTCTTTTTCAGTAACTTCCACTAAGCCCATCCACTCCATCATCAAGGCCCACCCCCATTGATCTGGTGGACCCGTCTGCTTGACTGAAAGCCTTAGGCACGAGGATTTCCTTCTACTTGATCTGGATAATTCTCATGGTCTCATGGGTCAAGACACGAAACCAAAATTGTCCACGGCTGTCCTTGTTGTACTGTACCTCCAATTCTATGGTCAACTTATCTAGTTGCCACTAAAATATTTGCCCGTGGCCCTGTCTGTTTCTATATGTCAATTCCATTGGATCTTACAAATTAATAAAGTTAAATTTGACTTTATTCATTTATGTGTTTATTTATTGATTTTAAAATTACTCAACCATTAATGTATTGATTTTGTGGTTTTGGCGATTTGGCCTCATTTAAAAAAAAATTGAAGTATATGCTTTGACACCTTGGAATCAAAAACCAATGGCAACAACAACCGACAGTGACAACTGACATCACAAGTTATGGTTCATTTGACCATTTTTTCATATAACCAGGTCTTTTACATAAATCAGATCTAATTTTTTGTAAATTTGTATCTAAATCAACATAAATCACATCAAAATATATCAACAAATTACACAACACAAACAATGATTAATACTTTGAAAATAGGGTTTATGGTTTTAGGAAAATCGTTTGTACAATTTGGGTTAAGGGTTAATTTATGATTTTTTTTCAACATTTTGCATGTCAAATTACAATGACATACCCAAAACTTGTATTTTTCGCAAAAAACTCTAAACGAGCCACTATTGACTTGCGAGTCGAATCGAGTTGAGCTAGGGTAGACTCGAACTCTGCTCAATACCTAATTTGAGTCTTACTCGAGCCAACTTAGCTCGATTAAACTCGGGCCAAGTTTGAGTATTTAACGAGCCAAGCCGAGCCGAGTTGACTTGCAAGCGGCTTGGCTCGACTGACACCCCTACATAGATACCTGTTCGAATACAAAATCCTCTAATTATAAATAATCCAGTGATTAAAATTTAAAGGGTTTATCATCCCATCACAAGGGGAAAAAAAAAAAACTATTTCACATTTCTTATCAACTGGGGAAGGTTAATGCTTTAAATATGGTCAGATTTTGTTGATATTTTTCAAATTTGTAACAATCATGATAGATGAACAAAGGGATGGGAACAAAAGAATAAAGAAAAATATTATGAATTTCTTGATAATGCCTTCCCCAGATACTTTCATTGTTTTTTATTATTTTAAAATTTCATCTGAGAAAAAATAAGTAATTTATACGGTGAGCATCATCGACCATTCCCAGCCGTTGCAGGTGTATAGACGCTGACAGATCGGGCACCAACCATTTATCAATTGAAGAGACTTGACTTCTTTACCTTCTTTCCTTAGTGGGGGAGTTTTTATTCAAAAGCTAATTAAACCAGAACATTCCACGAAACTTCCTAACGTAGAACTCGAGGAAAATTTTATGCTTACTTTCATTTCACATCTTCCAACTTTACTCACTCAGTCTTGATTCTTGAACTTGACATTTGCGTTCAAAACTGTGACCACTTTTAGATATAGGCTTATAGCTAATCATTTTAATTTTATTACTCGGCATTAATATAAATATATATTTTTTAATACATTGGGTGTTTTGAAACCAAAGGGTAATATTGGCTCAAAAACTAACATTGGGTGTTTTGAAACCAAAGGGTAATATTGTC